CACCAAGAGCATGAGTCGCTGTTCAGTGCATCACAATACGGCACAAATCACGACATGGTGAAACACTCTCTCTTCATATCTCAAGTCGTGAGAGTGTTGTATGAAATGATTTGCAAGGCAACCGAACTTTCCGGTCATATTAGATATGCTGCATGTTTCCTGCAGTCACATGGCTGTAGCAAAGTGCATGATTTCTACCCCGATATATAAAAACTCCCAGTTCATGGATGTTCGTTTTCTTTATTTCTAGCATTACCTCGGAGAACCCGATCGGCCCCAAGGACGTTGCCATGGCGCTCCTTAAGCATTGCAACTTGTGCCCGTATAATTGGTTTATGAACAATTGTCAGTTGGGAGCACTTCGTCTTATCAATCTGCTCCGTGTTCCCGGACGCCACCTAGCGGACATCTTGCACAAGTGGGGCATGGCCTTTCCCCACTGAGCGTGCCGCAAGTGTCTATGAGAGGAGCGGTGAGCCGTCCTACGCCATCGGTTATAAATTCAGCTCCAGCCCCCCCCCCCCCCTTGCTTCCATACGTGACGTGATGTTTCACTTTATTAGATTCTGTTAAATACGTAAGCGTGCGCTAGTAGATACAGTGCTAACAAATAAAAATTTATAGTCAAGGGCTCCACATGAACGACGGAAGACGAGTGTTCTTGTATGAAGTATTCGTCTAGCCTCAATTTTCCGTTTTACCAAAAGTGGGATATAAAGTAGAAGCAGGAGGTCAAGCATCTGTTTGCAGTTTTCTTTTTGATGCAAAATCACCTTAACAGTCTTTATTGCGATAGCAATTACATGGACATTCTAGGTGGTTTTTTTCATCGCAGTCACCATTATGCCCTGGGTTTGTACTATATATATATATATATATATATATATATATATATATATATATATATAGTGTGTGTGTGTGTGTTATCAATGAAGTTAAAAGTGCATTGTGTCAGTTCCTTCTGCATATTAAACTTTCGCATATACCTGCATTCTGTGTGATGAGTAGCGTGCTTTAAACCACGAGCTAGTATGCTCGTGAATTTTTTTCGAACTTGCCATGCACCCTCTTCGCGGTCTCTACGTGGACTGGCTGAAAATTGCCTTTTTGGGGTGTGCACGATTTCATATATGGGTTCTGTCGAACAATTTAAGGTTCAGTGGTGAGTGGCGACTGTCCACTCGAGTAGGCAGCACCATCTCCAGCTGGACTACATGTAAATCGCCTTTTTGAGGTGTGCACAATTTCGTTGCGGTTGGTTTTTTTCAAGTCTACGTAGAGGGTGCATGGCAAGTTCGAAAACATTTTATGCGCATAACAACTCATGAAAGCACGCTACTCATCATACAGAATGCAACCATATATGCGAGAGCTTCACTGGCACTACGCACTTTAAACTTCATCAATAACATTTACTAAAATACGCAATTTACACTTCTCGAGTAACATCATACAATGAAAAGTATGCACTGTCCTTGAAGTACGAACTACGGACACGATATCGCTATCGCGTTCAACTCTCAAAGTCGAAGCGCTCTTTTTGTGTGTGTGTGTGGGGGGCTTTTATATATGCATATACAGACTCGGGAGATGACGGCGACGGCGAAAGTCCACCTAAAGTGTCCATTTATTTGGTATCGCAACAAAGACAGTCAAGGTGGCTTTGATTCACCAAGAAATTCTTCACATTACAATTCGCCCTGAAAGATGATGAAATGCAACGTGTATCTATAGCACGCGCATTACACTAGCATATAGGCTCAGGGATATCGGCTCTGCTGTATCTGATTGCATAGTTGAAGCATAAAAGTTACCGCGCTTATTCGTCGCGTCATATTCCCGATTCAGTGGAGTAATCAGGAGGTGGCACACTGGGTCCGTGCCCTTTTCCCCTGAAATGTTTTTCACCGTGGCATAAAGAGCAAAAAAGTGACCATTTCAAGGAAGACTCATTAGATGTTTTCTTTTAAAACTAAATTTCCAGTGTTTCCTCGTTTGATAGGACTTCCCTTCGATACCCGAAATTTTATTTCAATGAACAACACCCAAAAAGCTCTGTTATGCATAAGAAAATGATAAAGTGTGCCAACAAAGTTGTCACAAAAAATATTAATATTTATCGGTGAGTAATTAGTTGATGCTCCTGAGCAACATTGGGCACCTGTGGTACAACTTCCCATGGAATGCCTTCCAGCAGTAGCGGCCTGGAAAAAGGTATGGATGCATGTTTCACCATCCAAGATTGAGATTTAATGTACACATCCTAAACTTTTGGCTTACACCTACCCTGGGGGACTGGCCATGAGTCGGGTAGCCTAGAAAAACACATTTAAAAGCTAGAAGAGACAGCATATCTTCTCGTTTTGTGTAATGAAGGCGATATTTTTAGATTTATTGGTGTGAAAATAACAAAAGACATTAAACCATGCAGACATTTTTGCAAAAATAAAGTTTCTTACTTTTCCTATGACGGACGGATTGGCGTGCTTGTTATAGAAGTGAAACAGATGAGGAAGAAGAAGATGAAAGGAGCGTGAAACGGTTCTTAAAGATGATTGTTTTCTTTCTTCTTCACACTAAAAACATCAAATATAACAGCTCTGTGCAAAATTTGTTGCAAATAACGTGTTGTATATGGAAGCTCGCCTACCTTCTCTGCTAAATAGGTTTAAAGTTCTTACTGTGCAAGCATTCTTAAAGATATACAGTTCACACCAAAGACACTCATTTTACGCTTTCATTCAAGAACCGGCTTTATTTTTTCGAAACCCATTGGTCGCGACTACACACCCCGCAAATAGTATTTGCACAAGCGCTACTAAAGCAACTGAATGTAAAAATTAAACATATTGGTCCAATACACAACCTAAAGTCAATGCTTAGCATACAATTTGATTATATATTTCCTCATAACGCGAAACAATTCGCACATAGGTACTTAAATGACCAGTTAGCAGATTATCTAGCTCACCTAGAGATAAGCAATATCATTGCGACTGATGCATCTGTGTCAAAAGAAAAGGCTGGGGTTGGCATCTTCTCTCCTTCTTTGGACTGGTCCTTTTCGATTGGACTCCCAGATTATACCCCGGTATTCATTGCAGAATTATTGGCCATTGTTCTTGCCCTACGAAAGTTGCCCTCAAGCGAATCATTAGCAGTTATCATTACAGATTCGTAATCAGTTTGTAATGCACTTTCTGCGGCAGTAAATGCAGAGCTGATGAATACGTTTCGGCATTTAGTACCGAAAAACGTAAAAAACTGCAGTTGCTATGGGTACCGGGCCACCGCGGATTATATTTGAACGAAATGGTGAACTCTTTAGCAGCAGTATCCCTGGGTGGGCCCACCATCCCAGTTTTGCCAGATACGGCTTACGTAACAGCGCTAAGGTTCCGAAATGCTTGCCTGCAATGGGGAAAAGGTAATTTGGATAAATTCAAAAATTTTGAGCATTTGAGCTATTGCTGGAATAAACAGGGGTGTGTATCTCGCCAGTTAGAGGTCACTTATACCAGATTGCGCTGTGCAGTTCCACAACTAAATTATTACCTTAACAAAGCTCGACTCAAGGCGTCACCGCTATGCATTTGGTGCAACGAAATTGAAAAATTGAACATTTCTTTTTATTCTGCCATCGTTAGTCTTATCAGAGAAAAAGACTTTTAGTAGCCCCATTACAAAAGCTAGGAATACAAGTAAATTTACCAGTAATTTTATCACTTGGCGGAACTTCATTTGGTTACTGCCACAGGGATGTATGCTCCACTGTGTTTGATTACATCAACGCAACTAAAAGATTACCGTGCTAGTGAACCCCAACCTTTTCAGATCTTTAGTTTATAATTCGTAGTTATGTCTATCAAAAGCAAGAGATGGTTTGACTGCTTGCTCAGCAAACATTTTTGTTTTTTTTTGGTAGTATTATTTTTAAACTACTTTTTCAGATTGGCTTCATTTTCATTTTAGTTTCATTTAAGTATCCTGCCGCCCGGTTCTTGGCCCATCCCCCTCTGTGGGTGAGCGCCATCCATAAGAGGTGATCATAATCATCATCAGCTCTGTGCACTGTATATTACAACAATGACATTTTGCCCTATCTGCATGCACTCCCATAAATGCGCTATGTTGCTCGTGAGCAACAACCCTTTTCTTATCAAGATTTTTGTGATGTAATATGTGGTGACGCTAATCAGCGTGCTCATAAATGATCTATAACGCTTTATGAGCTACTTTGAGTATATATAGGGGGTGTGCACTTGACGTCATCCGCGAGGATTGCTAGCGTAGGGGTCACAATTTTGATGGTCCGCGCGCTCGTCGCAGCGCAGAAAATTTGCTGCGTGCGCTGAGCTCGAAACCCGCACAGCAACTTGGATGCTTAAAGCCCTTCAAAACACTTTCTGCACGCCGAAACATGAACCGCAAGATGGCACGCACTAACCGACCTTCAAATTGGCGCGGCGATGGTGTTGCCCTGTTGCGGATCAAGGCTCAGTGCTTACTAACAGATTTCACAGAAGCTTCCTGTTCCGCTGCATTCGAATACATTTCCTTCAGTGTGCGAAGCTTTTTTCACCACGTGTCAGACGCTAGAAGAAAACACTACAAAAGTGCGATCCATTTTTATTTACGTATTTTTTTTTTCAAGCTCAAGACGCTCGGTGGTGTTTGTCTGTTTGTCACCACATATAGCGTCAGAAGGGACGCGCAACAGCAGGATGTGTTTGCGGAATAAAGAATTTTGGAGGCTGTTGCCCTAGAGCAACAGCGGGCATCAAAGGGTTGAACGTCCTGCCGCCCACTCCATGGCCCATCCCCCGTTGTCGGCGAGTGCCTTCAGGAAGAGGAAAGCATCATCATCATCGTCAGCAGCAGCAGCTAGCACGCGCTCCCCGTTCACAGCGCGTGCTCTTGCTTAACCTTCTTCGATCTCAACGGCTGCTGCTTGAAGCGGTTCCTGTTCCCGACCCATCGGCGCACGCCGTGGCAAAGCCATGGAACGCATCAAGTGCGGCCCCATTGTCGAAATGCAGGGTGACGACATGTCGCGCGTCATCTGGGACCTGGTGCGCGACAAGCTCATTACGCCCTTTTTGGACATTGACCTCAAGGTACTCTTTGCACGTCTCCTAATAAACATAGCAGGACCAGAGAGTATTTCCGTTAACTACGCTTTCCACAGGTGCTATCTCCTCCTCACAGGTAATTTTTTTTTCATAAAACACGCGGACAATATCAGCATTAGGCGGTGAGCCTATCAGGATTTGGCTACATACTGTTAACTCTGCTTGCGCAATCGGAAACTAAAAAAAAACTTAATAGAAAATATGTTGATCACACACGATCAATTTATTAAGTATGGGACCATACACAGTAACTCCTACAACCCAAGAGGGCCGCTCTCAGCCTCAACGTTTTCTAAACGCAGGTGTTCGACCTGTCCATCGCCAACCGCAACGAGACGGACAACATGGTGACGCTCCAGGCGCGAGACGCACTGAGGCGCTACAACTGCGGCGTCAAGTGCGCCACCATCACGGCCGAGCGAGACGTGCTCGAGATGTACCACCTGAAGCGCATGTGGAAGTCGCCCAACTCGGTCATCCGCAACTCCCTGGGCGGAGCCCTCTTTCGAGAGCCCATCATCTGCAAGAACGTGCCGCCGCTCATCAAGCAGTGGCGCAAGCCGATCGTCATCGCGCGCCACGCGTTCGGTGACATGTACATTGGGAAGTGAGCGCGTTCGCCCATAGGCACGATCATAACGAAGGCACTGTTACGGTGTAGTTTCCAGGTTATATGGGCACTGAAGTGTAACGATGAATGTTTAGAATACTTGTACTTCGATGACTCTAAAGGCCTAACCACACGTACGCGGTGCAGCGCGTCTGCGCGTGGCTCTCAGACGTGGCGTTGCGCCCTCACCTTACGGAGGAAGAGGGCGCCCGGCCATGTAGAGTTACTGCGTGTGCTATACATTAGGTGGCATATACACTAACTCTACGGCCACACAAAGCTGAGTGCCATTTCTCCATATGGAAAGGGCACGGTGCCGCGGCAGAAATCCACGCGCTGATATGCGTACGTGTAGTTGGGCCTTAATAACGTTAGCCTCATAAACGTAGATTTTTAATGAAAGATAATACTATCAAATTTTAACCATTAACATTGACCGCCGCTCTGTTAGCATTAACGATGGTTATAGTCGCCTTAGAGGGGGAGGGGTTCGAAGCCGGCTGAGTGCATTGACACATTAGGGAGAGGGCGCAGCGAGCACCATGGACAACCACCACGGCAGGTGCAGCGCAACTACCCTGCCACTGTGAAAGACATTCGTTCTAGCTGATTGCCGCCCGAACTTAAAGCAGTTCTTCGCTTCTTTTTTTCGTAATATGTAAATTTTATGCATATTAAGGATGATAGGTTCCTCGTTACCACCTAAATCATTACATTCGGCTGAACACCGATGTCCGTAAATTTACCGGCACGTTGTTTTTGGTGCCACAAACGTGAGTCTTTAAATGTCGGCTATGTGAAGCACTTAATGTGACTGAAATGAGTAAGCGTGATAGGACGAAAAATTTCCTTACGTTGTAACCAAGTACAAGATATTTTGCGCAAGACATCTGTGTGCCACCATCTTGGGCGGCTACGCCGATGGTTTCTCGCTTTTATATATCACTACATGAATGAATAAAGCCATAAAACATCAAACGCACCAACCCCTCCATTTTTATGTATATGCATCTACCGCAGCACTAAGGTGACTGGCAGCACCGTTTAGTAGTTAGACACAAAACAGCCCATCATGGTGGCAGTCAAAGCTACCCGTAAAACAGTCTTTAGTCGCACCTGATTACAGTCCTTGCGCTGCAGTGCCGGTATTAAAGAAAGAAATAAAAAAATCCTCAGAAGTGGCGCGTTTATTTCAGAGATTTCGTGGCTCCGGGTCCCGGGTCCTTGGAAGTCTGCTACACGCCCAACATCGGCTCGCCGTACAACCTGCACGTGTACGACTTCGTGGACACCCAGGGCGTTGTGGCGGCTATGTGCAACACGGATAAGTCCATCACGGAGTTCGCCTACAGCTGCTTCCAGTTCGCACTCAGGCGTAACCTGCCGCTCTACCTGAGTACCAAGGAGACCATCCTGAAGAAGTACGACGGCCGCTTCAAAGACATCTTCGAGCGCCTCTACCAGAAGAAGTACAAGCCCCGGTTCAAGGAGACCGGCATCTTCTTTCAGCATCGCCTCACGGACGACATGGTCGCAAGGTACACATGACATTTCATATGTAGAACTACATATACTACAAAAAACACGACTGTGGTATAACTAAGTTTGGCCAGGGTAGACGTAGCGAGAGGAACAGCTAATCTTATTGTTTAGCTTGGTCTCTGTACTGTACGTCTCTCGAGGCGCTCAGTGCGTTGGTTCTCCGTCTCCTCGGCTCACTGCATGCCTCATCTTGGTTTGGTTCCTACGAGAAAGCCTGCATTCTTTCACTCTCTCCTACTCGCCTTTCATATCTACCGACGAATTTCACCGAGCCGCTCCTTCCATATATATACAATGCAACGCCACCGCCTCCTCTGTTGCAGCGTGGTTTCACCAGCACATCTGACGTCAGATGATGTCTGCTCGGACGTCCCCACTTGCTAAATGACGTTGCGAGCGGTACCGCCAGCTGCGGCGGTTGCTAGGCAACGGCTCATCTTGTGGTGTGTCCACAGCGAAAATACGGCCCATCTATAGCCCTCGCTGCAAAGTGACAGGAAAAAGAAAATCGAAGCTTGCGATGAAAAAAAAGAACCCTAAAAAGGGGGTTATGTGCTCGAGCCGAAGTTTCGACAAGCGGAGTTGTCTTCAATGCTGGAACTGATTTCAGTTCAGTCCAGTTGTACAACCAGGAACTGATTGTTCAGAACAATGTAACGGCTTTGAAGAAGGCAAGTCCGCTTGTCGAAACATTGGCTCGAGTACGCAACCACTAAGTTTTTTTTATTGCTGACTATAAAGTCATTCGGTATGATTGGGCTGTAGCCAGTGGGGTGGAAGGTCACGTAATTCGCGTTAAAAAGACAGCATGTACAAATACGGACACAATAGAAAAACCAAGACACCACAAACGGTGACTCGCAGAGCAGCGGAAAATACGGGTAACACAAAAACTTATCTGTAGATACTTACCGTGGCAAGAGGCGAAACTCATCACGCGTGGAAGTCCGCGTGAGAGATTACTGTTCAGGCGTGCTATTCCTCCTTTATGCAAGTTAATAGACCGCTGGCTTGAGCACGCGCTACCGCTGTTATCAGTATGCATGGGTCAGCCGTTGATTTGCGTGAAAAAATATGAAATGTCTGAACATCTAAAGATTAGGGCGCTGGATTGGTAGGTACCACCTCTCGGCCGGTCTGGCCCAGACAAGCTCATGTGTGAATACCTTCTTTTCCACCACATGCGCCTTTACAGCTTTTAGGCGGCGTTTTTGTGGTCACTTGACTTCTCTCCGGTGTGCATGTTTGCACGATCTGTAAATATAAATCATGGGTAGTCAAGGTGGTACTGGCCTCTCGTGTTAAGGCAGGGGGAGCTTTATATTTTAAATATCATATAGACTGATGACTATATGCTTGTCAAATTCATATTTTGATCTGCATCCTATGTTGTAATTATTACCAGTACAATACAAAAAATATTTCATATTTATATTTTTTAGCGTATGCTTGTTTTGTAGTGGTAATTAATTGTGTGCGATACCTTGCACTCTGCGAGATTGTACAGAAACTGACTGGTTTCTGAGAACGATCAATAGCACAATACAGTCACGAGGGGAAGGGGGGTTGGTCTGGATCTACGCTCGTCATTTTTATTTCAAAGCATTATTCAAATTGTGTACATTTAAAAGTTAAACCTATATTTATATAAAAAAGAAATGCTCAATGTAACAGGATCTAGCACCACCTTCCCCTTGTGTGATTTTTCTATAGATTGACGCCACTTCATTTGACGCTGGTTATTAATGCAAGAAACGTCCCATCATTCAAACCCACCACGTACCACTTTATTTCCTCACAGGTCCTTGCGCATGGAAGGCGGCTTCGTGTGGGCGTGTAAGAACTACGACGGCGACATCCAGTCGGACTTCGTCGCCCAGGGCTTCGGCTCACTGGGCCTCATGACCAGCGTGCTCATCTGCCCCGACGGCAAGACTCTGATCGCCGACGTGGCGCACGGCACCGTGACCAAGCACTTCCGGCGCTACAAGGCGGGCCTCGAGACGTCGACGAACTCGATGGCCACCATCTACACGTGGACCAAGGGCATCCGGCACCGCGGCAAGCTCGACAACAACCCCAAGCTGGAGGCCTTCGCCAGGGCCCTGGAGGCGGCCACGTTGGGGCTCGTCGAGTCCGGCTACATGACCAAGGACCTGGCCCTGTGCGTCAAGGGCTTCGGCAAGGTGCAGCGCCAGGACTACCTGAACACCTTCGAGTTCATCGACAAGGTGGCCGATGAGATGACCGCCAAGTACAAGCAGCTCTTTGAAGAAGAGTCAGTGTGAAGGGAGCGTGCTGGCGATACAAATTATTTTTATGTGTGTATAATATATACGGCTTGCATTTGCTTCTCGAATTTGCATGCGAGCTCAAAGAATAGTTTTTTTTTAAATCGGACTAATGGAGCATTGTGGGAGGCACGCGGAATTATCGGATCATTGTGGTGAAAATTTGTCTCTCTTCCACAATACTCTTTCCAGCGTGTAAAAAAACAAAATGCAGCCGCTATGGCTATAGCTGCTTAGGTGTGTTGCCTCAGGGCCCTAGATATTTTAATACTGTAGAAAATATAAAAGCTAGGACTTAAGTGTTGCTCGAAAGGTTGAATATTACCGCCCCTCCCCTCGTCTTCCCCCTATGGGTACGTAGGGGTGGTTGAGTGCATTTTTGTTCCTTCTATAGCATACACTTACTTATGCTATCCAAATTTCATGCCTGGTCATGAAGTCCTTGGCGCAATGTATAGGTAAAATACAATAATTGAACACTAGAAAAAAAAGCAAACTTTGACAAATCACCAGACATCGACTGCTAAGCACCCTACTAAAGAGGAAAGTGTGGAAATGTTGCTATAGCTTCTGGAGCCATATCAGACCATCTATGTTGACGCGTCTACAAGCTTGAGGGCATTCCCTCGTGACACGAGTTGCCATCAGTGTAACCCCCCTGCCAAAAAAAAAAAGGGATCTAAGGCCTCTTACATCATCGCCAAAACGAATCGAAGGTTGAGTGAGCGGCGACTCACTGAAGACTGCAGGCTCGTGAAGCATTACGTCAGAATATTCGATTAGCCAGTTAGCTTGTCGAGTCTCATTTCATGCTTGTTCTCCTTTTACCTCGCGCACTTCTCAGGCTTGCCACACAACTAGGCTCTGGAAAGGGTGTCGCCAGAAGTGCCGGGGGGGGGGGGGGGGCTCACCGGGCCGGTGTTACCTCATGAATTTTTTCCTCCATAACAAATTGAGGTGAAATGACCACTTCAAAAATGTGAGCCTCCCCCCACCCCACACACCTAAAAACAAAAATTCTGCCTACACCCCTGGGCTCGGCCCCAGCCTATCGGATCTCGCGCCTTTTCCGCGTTGCCAAGAGCCCTCAGCAGGCCCAGGAGCATTTTGAACACAGGTAAATTTCGTCATCTTGTCAGATTTCATAATGGCGGCATTTTAAGCCAGTCAGGCGTTCGGCTTCCTTCGCTAGCGTCTTGTCCGTGTTAGCCGCGCCGTCTCCGTTATCAAACGCGATCAGTTTGCTTGACTCGCACATCGTCGGTGTCGTTGGTCTTCCACTGCCGACGCTTGCCTTCGGCTTCCCTGGCTCACGCCTCGTCGGTGTTGCAGGTGCGACGTCACCATGCGCGAACGTGATCGGCTGTGATAATTCTCGCGACACCGGCTACGGTCGGGTTTGGCCAATTCGCTTCGGCGCATGTTTCGGCGGGTGCAGGAGCTTCGCTTTCCGGCGTCCTCTCCATCGCAGATAAACGAACCGAAAGAGTGTTCACTCGATGTGCGCTGGAACGTTGTGAGTGGTGGAGATGGTGAAGCGAGAGAGAGTCGACACGCGGCGAGCGCATGACAGGCGAGGGAGAGAGAGCCGTCACAGTGCACTGCGAGGGAATGCGTGACCTACTTGGCACCGCCCCGACAGCTGCGGTGAGGGGAGCAGGGTGCGGCGCCTTAGCACGGAGACACGGACGGACAGCGTTACACGGGCTAGTCAAAGAGCTGCTTGACATCTTGAGACAAAAAGGAACTATGAGACAAAAGAAGACAGGTAGCAAAGAATATCATCATCATCAACAGACACGAGCTCTTTTCGTGCTATTCTTCTGCATTGCTTCCAGGACACGTGCTCCGATTGGTCTGGTGCGGGATGCAACAATTCTGATGGTCGAGAGAAGGAGTACAGAGAGAGGCAAAGAAAGAAAGAGAGATAGAAATGTTTGGCGGGATTGGAACCCACGATCCTAAATCGAGCATCGTCGTCACTCGGTTATCCATGCACGTACACGAGAAGGACGGAAAGGAGATTTGGAGAAGGAGTACAGTGACAGAGAAAAGATATCGCAGGGTGAGTAGAAAGACATAGAAAGACAGAGAATGACTACAGAGAGAGAAAGGAAGAGAGAGAAATAAAACAATGAGAAAGAAAGGGACGAAAAGGGGAAAAATTAAAAGAAAGCTAGAAAACTCTACCTCAAATAGAGCAAAAAAAGAACAGGAGGGAAGAGGGGAAAGAAAACGAGAGACGTACAGAGACGGAGGTAGTAATAGAGGGAGAGTAAGAGTAAAATAAACAGACTCGTAATAGAGAGAGGTGAGACCGTAAAAGCCAGGTGTCTCCCCACGCGAATCTGTGGAATGGTTTCATTGCTTGCAGGGGTGGGACTGCCATTGCACAATCGCTATAAGAGCGACATAAAGGTGCGAGAAGAGGCATTAGCATCGATAGCACGCCAGCATTTACCGACCAGTGGAAACTCAGTTTCATTCCCACTAAACGTGGCGCCGGACTTTCTAAATCATGTTGCCAACATATTTATGCTTATTTATGTGTTAACACATTAAATATGTTTTAATTTAGGGAGCGCCTCCTGCGCTGCGCAGCAGCCAGTCCCACACAAAAGTGGCTCCTGCGCCGCACGGAAGTGACGTCACTCAAAAAATTATAGGCAGAGACTGCTGCGCCGCGCGGCGCACGAGCCATCCCCACACAAAAACGGCTGCTGCGCCGCACGGAAGTGACGTGTTGCATTTTCCGGTTAGGTGCTTTGTTTGAATAGTCGGGAGTGTCTAGCGGTACGTCTAGACATAACAATAAAAGCCGTTAAAATTACGTCCAAACAAAAAAGTGAACAAAAATGTTATTTAGGTTTCGCGTGACAACAATACAAAACAGGCTTGTTTGTCACCTCCAACCGATCGGCAGCTGTGGCGTAGTTGGTTAAGCAACACATGAACTGGTGAGGTCGGTGGCTCAAATCCCATTGTAGTTATCGATACTATTTTTTTTTTGTTCACGCAAGTATTGTTTTAACATTGGCGCCTCCTCATCAGCCCAACTTGCTGCTGGTGGTGGTCCCGTCCACAGGCCCTTTAATATTGGATCTTCGATGACGCTTGCAGGATTGACTATATTTATTATGATAAAGTGTTTTGCGAATTAGTGCTCTTAATCGGCGAGACGCAAAAAGCCACAAAAACTCGAATGCAGCTGGCTGCATTGGTTTCTTCAGCACAGGTGTCAGGAATGTTGATTTCCACGGTTTATCAAAGTCTTGATGACAGAAAGGTGCACCGCAACGTAGTCTTGGGCAACTTTTTTTATGTCGCTCAGTGTACCATCACCTGACGAGGTAACCGGCAGGCCGCTTTCTTTAAAAATACTGACGTGTCACCGCAATGTTCTCGACGATCAGCACTTGATAAACAATGCCCAAGGGCAAGTGCCGACGGCGTTAGCCCATCTAACTACTTGTCTGCGTTGCTCAAAAACACGCGCGGCCTGTGACAGCACGGGAGCAATTACGTAGCAACGGATGAGAACGGCCGTACGTGTTCGCACTTGACAAAACAGACGGCAATGCAGTAGCTCTGGCCTTCGGAGATCACAGGCTTCGTAAGAACATTACAATAAAGTTGTTTCCATCCATCGTATGAACACTTCGCCGACGCACTGGGGTTTCATGCATGTGCATCCGGTCAGTCACACGTGAACCGTGCGAAAGCATTTATTTCATCGTCAACCTTGTCCTTCGCGACAAGCAAAACTCGGCAGCAAGAACACTTTCTCCTTTGACAACACCACGCTTGGCATTGCAATCTAGAAAATGCAGTACATACAACAACAATAATCCGCACTTCACACTGAGAAACTTCATGGCGCACACACTCAGATGAAGCTGCGGCGCGGTGGATGGCCGCGCTAGCTCCAACCACCAGGTTCAACTAAGCATCCAGCAATCACATGAAGCAGCGACGACACTCCAGTCCTCCTCGGGAGTGGCCTAGGCCATGGCCACGATTTCATCGGAGTTTTCACCATCAACACATCGCAGGCGGCTACTATCTCGCAGTGTTTACCTTTAGCCGCAGCGCCCGTGGCGCCCCCTGTATTAAAAATATTTGTAATTTGTATTTAAATAACAAACCTGAACTAATTGACTCGTTAAACACCTGCTTAGTAAATGTTTTGTAGGTTTAACGCATCACGCACGAATAATTTACACATTTAACTAGCTTTAAGTAATAATTTTTTAAGTGACGTCACTTCCGTGCGGCGCAGGAGCCAAACTTGTGTGGGGATGGCTGCTGCGCCGCGCGGCGCAGGAGACGCTGCCAAAATTATAACCTAAAGCTATTTAAATGTATGAACCGATAACATGGTAACCTACAAAAATGTCACTAAAAAGTTGTTTGACAAGTAAATCAGCTTATATTTGTTAATTAAACACATATTAAAAGCTTTTTAAATACAGGGGGCGCCATGGGTGCTGCGGCTGCGAAATGTAAACAGTGTGAGATAGTAACTGCCTGCGACGTGAGTTGGTGGTGACAACCTTATTGAAACCTCCGGCGAAATCGTGGCTTGGGCCTAGGCCGCCCCCAAGGAGGACCGGAGACACCGTGTCGTCGCTGCTTCATGGGATTGCTGGATGCCCAGTTGAATCTGAAGGTTGGAGCTAGCGCGGCCGTCCACCGCGCCGCAGCTTCATCTGAGTGTGTGCGCCATGAAGTTTCTCAGTGTGAAGTGCGGATTATTGTTGTTGTATGTACTGCATTTTCTAGATTGCAATGCCAAGCTGGTGTTGTTAAAGGTAAAAGTGTCCTTGCTGCCGAGTTTTGCTCGTCGCGAAGGACAAGGTCGACGATGAAATAAATGCTTTTGCACAGTTCACGTGTGACTGACCGGACGCACATGCATGAAACCCCAGTGCGTCTGCAAAGTTTTCTTACGATGGATGGAACCAACTTTATTGTAGTGTTCTTACGAGGCTTGTGATCTACGAAGGCCAAAGCTACTGCAGTGCCGGTTGTTTAGTTAAGTGCGAGCACGTACGGCCGTTCTCATCCGTTGCTACGTAAATGCTCCCGTGCTGTCACAGGCCGTGCGTGTTATTCAACAAGGCACACAAGCTGTTTTGCAGTTAGATGGGCTAACGCCCTCGGTATTTGCCTTTGGGCATTGTTTATCAAGTGCTAACCGCCTAGAGCATTGCGGTGACACGTCAGTATTTTGAAGTGGCCTGCCGGCTACCTCGTCAGGTGATGGTACACTGAGCGACATAAAGTTTCCTGTGGCTATGTTACAGTGCGCCTTTTTGCCATCAAAACTTTGATAAACCATAGAAATTACTATTCCTGACGAGTGTGCCAGAAAAACCAATGCAGCCAGCTGCATTTGAATTTTTCGTGTCCTTTTGCATGTCGCCGTTAATTCGCAAAACACTTTATCATAATAAATATAGCCAAGTCTGCGAGCGTCATCAAACATCCAATATTAAAGGGCCTGTGGACAGGACCAGCAGCAGCAAGTCAGGCTGATAGGAGGCCGATCAGGAGGCGTAACTGTTAAAACGATACATGCGCGAACAAAAAAAAAAGAAATTAAAATTTACAAGACTGCAATGGGGTATGAACCACCGACCTCACTCATAATCAATGTGTCCCACTAAGCAACTACGACACAACTGCCGATCGCTTGGGTAGTATTAACAAGCCGATTTTGTATTGTTGTCACACCGGACCTAACAGTTTTTTTTACTTTTGCGTTTGAATGTAACTTTAATGGCTTCTATCGTTACGTCTAGTCGTCTAGACATTCTGACTATTTAAATCAAGCGCCTAACCGATAAAGGGCATGGCGTCACTTCTGTGCGGCGGCGCAGCAGCAGTTTCTGCATGCAGGTGGCTCGTGCGCCACGCAACGCAGAAGTTTTTGCCTTTAATTTAATGTGTTTTAAAAAGTAGTTGAAGACATTTTAAAAAAATTGAAGTAAATTATGCGTTTTAACGCATTAATAAATTGGCGCACAGCGCCACACATTCAAACAATAAAAAATTTTTTGCAAGTTGTAATCAGGCCTGCAGCAATCAATGGCGCACATGGCGGCGCCCATAGACGCCGTTTGAAGCGAGCATGGAGGTGCCCGTGGCGTGCGTCAAATCCATCTCGCAGCGCCTGTCTCGAGTGGGGTGCGTCTTGGCCTACGGCGGCAGAAGACGGCCCTGCGCGCTCTACAGGCTCAGCAATGCGAGGCACGCTCACGGAGCGCCCACGCTGGGCGAGCATCACACCGAAGTGCTGCTCTCCAACGAGTGAGTCGCCGCGACTGCGCGCTCTGCACGAAACTTGGTTGTGATCGCGCTCGCTATCGCTTGCTCAGACGGTTAGATAAGCCGTTTATTCGTCATTGCTACCGCATAGTTAAGTGAACCGATCCTTGATCTCATGTCAATATGCAGAGTCGCTTGGCTGAACCTTCTCAGATGCTTCCGAACGTATGCCAATGGTGTGTCTGAAGTACAAAACCTCATTGCAAACACCGAATGGTGTTTTAAAAGTGGAGCTCACTCGAACTGCTGTCATTTGTCAGCATGGAGTTATGCTTTAAAATCCGGCTTATGTAAATGCAGTTAGATGTAGGTGCGGAAAGCTTTCGTTTTTAATGATGCAACCACAGCTTCCCGGTGCATGGCCCAATGCGTGCGACTGCCTACTTTACTAATTTAACTCAAGCCGTTTAACGTGACTTTTGTCTCTCGTTGTTCTTGCTATATTTGTACGATTTATAGCGCATGACGGCGCCGTGTGAATCCGTAACGTGCGCAAGTTGGCGGTAGCGATTCGCATCGCCTACTTGTGGCTTGTTTTCACATTGCTGATTAGCGCTTGTTCAATCCAGTGGCAGCATCTTCAACGACATGTGAACTGCCGGGCGATGTTCTCGTTTCGACGGTGCCCTAAAATTTAGCGGGCTCCGAACGTTGTTTCTTTGTGAAATTCAAGATGACGCAATTCATATCAAGCCATCCTTGACTTTTGCCTAGTATTTCGGTGTTTCGTTTTTTATTTTACACTTTTATTGCACGCCGCAGTTCATTGCAAATCCACAAGTAACTAAGCGGGACCATGAAGTGCACACGTTGCGTTGTCTGTTGATATTTCAGTTTTATGTCTGTCATATGTGTTTGCCCTGCATAATTCAAACCTGTGATTTCGCTGACAAGTTCGAAATGATGTCTGTCTTTCAAGCTGTGTAATAGGACATTTCCGAATATTGTTGATGTGTGATCGGACATGTCCGACATGCTAGCTGAATTTTCTGCCTTAACAATTTTAATTTGTGAATAAATACCATTAACTAACAAACATTTCCTCCATCAAATTAGGTAGTGTTCAACTTCTTAGTAATTTTTGTAATGCAGTCACTATTTGCACATGTAAAATAAATAATAATTTCATCTGTTCACAGTGTCCAACAACTTTCCAATATCTAAACACTACTAGCATATGTGAAGAATCTGTTGTCACCGTTCAACACAATTTAAAAACAGCCGCAGCATTTAGAGTGCGCTTATGTCTCACGTATATGCTGTGTGGCTTTCCTTGCGCCAAGGCTGTAGGTCTGAAAGGCCAACATCACGAACGAAATTCATTCTATCAGCATGACGCAGCATATCTTTTATAAAAAAACTCGTGAGTGCGGAGTTTTCAAGAGATGAAGCGCTAGCAAACTGTAGAGTAATTATGATTGTATGACAAAAAAAACCCAGTCCAAATGGTGTGTTAATCGCTGGAATGCTCACGTGAAAACAACTATGCTTTGTTTGCCACTTTCAACGTAAGCTGACTAGCCCATCTAAGAACAGTCGCGTTGTTTTCTCATTTGTGCACACAGTGGCTTATCACTTAACAAAAAGCATACCTTGTAATTTTAAGGCACTGTGCCATTCTTGTTACTCATGTTTTCTCAACATTTTGCTCGCACATTGCAGTCAAACACTCAAGTTGTCGTCAGGGCAGCTGGCCAAGTTTGCCGATGGCTCCGCCGTTGCGCAAATTGGTGACACGTCGGTAATGGTCACCGTGGTCAGCAAACACAAACCTTCCTCATCGGCGTCTTTTCTACCTCTTGTGGTATGTAACGGTTGAATTACATTCTTTAATTATATAAGTACGTACAAAAGAGTTTCAGCTCGTCTGTGGACTTTAGTAGTTGTCATCTAGCGAACTACTGGAGGCTTAAAGGGACGCTAAAGAAAACCAATGACTTCATTTAGATCGGCAAATGCACTCTGAGAACTCTAATGCAATATGTCTCACCACCATAAGTTCATTATTAGTGCACAAAATTAAGTTAGAAGTTTCATTTAAAAACTTGGCACCGAAATCTCCGCGCTTGACATCGGAAACTTCAAAATGCATATTTAATGTTTTTGCGGCATTGGCTTGATGAAATTTTCTGAAATTTCGTATGCTAGGTCTATGGTACCCACAGATGACAATGTACCTCATTCTTCTTGGTTAGAAGCCATGTAGGACCCTCTGGCCGCCTTCAAAAATTTATGACGTCACTGTGTTTGATCTGGGAACCTAAAGGTGGCGCCTCCACCTATATTTTCTTTTCGCGTGTTTTCTTGCTTACCAAGTGTGTTGCTAGGAGTGGTGTTTTTGGGGTTGTGTAATTGTACTTTACTGATAGACGATAAATCCTTTCGCTCTTTAGTTTCCCTGTATGCATGAGTAGCCTTGCTGATGTCAGGGAGGTCAACCATACACAGAACTGTCATTGCAACAACCAACTTTATTCTGTGTCACTGGTGACGCTAGTTTTCAGTGGCAGAGTAACTGCAACTGAGTTGACCTTTTTCCTCTCTTCGTCATAAATGCGGTAGACTCTCAGCAAACTGAAATCTTTCAAATGGAAGTGCTGCCTAAAGCGAGCAAGCGCTCCGGAAAGGATCGGTTTCGTACTTGTAGTCAAAAGTTCAATGAAAGTTCCTCTATCATGAGGAGTAGATGCATTCCCTGAACAAGTCGGTGACTGCATCTACGCGATACTTGTATTCTGCACTACTTTTCAACTTTCGGTAAGTGGGACTCCTGTTAAACATAACATGTTTTCGTAGTCGCTTCAGGTTCCGCCTAATGAGAGTCTACTATACTCTTAAGACGCAAAAATTGCTTAGGCCACTGCGGTTAGACGTGTCACGAAAAGTTGCTGCTGCTGTTCGATATCCCAGTATTGCACAAATGTCATTGCGCACGCTGAAATGCGAGGCATGCACGAGCTTTCTGTAGGCAACTTGAGAAGCATTGGGGAAAATAGCTTCAGATGTCTATGCAGAAAAGGGTGTGTTTAAACCATTCTAAACTTATTTCCTAATAATTTCACTCATATGTGCTCGCATTCAGTAGCCTCGCATACTCAGTACATCACGATAATTTGTCACCTACAAAGTAAGGCTGTTGTATGCCTTAAACTGTGTTTGTTAAATTAATTATGTCGTGTTTCTTTGTACGAATTAAAGGTGTTTTAGTAATCCCTGAGTGCACCGTTAGGCCGTTATTTTACAATCTCGCCAAGCTTCTTTAAATCTTTTATTCTATGCCTCCAAGGTCGATTACCGGCAAAAGGCTGCAGCAGCTGGCCGAATACCAACAAACTTCCTGCGGAGAGAACTGGGTCCCACGGAAAAAGAAATTCTGACGAGCAGAGTGATTGGTGCGTATCGAAGACTCATTTTGTTGAGGCATGAGTGGCGCGCACGATGTGAGCTTTGAGCTCGAGTGTGCGATTGCGTCATCCAAAGTTTGCTTTTCTAGTTTTTATTCTTGCCATCCTATTGTACTTTACTTTTCATGTAATCGGGATTGCCGAATAGGTGCTTAGCCAATATAGTAAATGAAGTAATGTATATATTATGAAGTGAATACCTATAAATTCGCCTGATACCCTAACTACAGTAAATATATCCTATGTGCTCCTGTTTTTATAATTTTTCCAACTCTTTTGTCTTTTTTTGTCATTTAAACTCGTACCTTGATATAATGAACCCAGATACAACGAAGTTCTGTTATAACGAAGTAAGTGAAGAATAGTCTTGCGATAGACATAGTGTTAGGAATATACCTTTTGTAACGAATTTTTGGGTATGACAAACATATTTTTGTGTAACATGCAACTTTGTTATTATGAGGTTCGAGTGTAATTCCTGTACACTTACGCACAATAGCTTTCTTATTCTTCCCCGCAGGGGCGCCTGCGCAAGTAGGCGTTTGGTGTGTAGCGACACCACAGACCCGAGCTAACGGGGGAGTTTTGACTCCCTCCCACGCCTAGCCGTGCGTGGCCTTGCCGTGTCCGGGGAAAAGGGGATCCTGGGGGTTGAGCCGACGCTGGGTGATTGGACCGTTAAGGCCCCCCGGCAGAGGCAACACACCCCTTTGGCCCCGGCTTCACGTAGACGGCACCCCTGGGCTGACCCACCCAGGGGAAATCGGCAGTCGCCTTTTCCTATCTCTCTCTCTCCCTACATCTTCGTCTTTATCTCTTACTATTTATCTGTCCTGTCTTCTACTCTCTTCCGTTTACTTCCGATATTCATGGCGGCAAGGGTTAACCTTGTGTAGGTATCCCACCTTGGATAATTACATTGGGTTATAGTGACAGCGTACGGCTGGCGTCGGGAGGGCTTGTTTCAACAAGTCCAACCGCGTCCCCTTGTTAGGCTCCGTGGTGGGTGGTCGCCGCTGTTACCGAACACATTCATACTTGTATGGCTTTACAAGCATCCGCCGACCTTGATCGGTCTCGCAAGAGAGGCCGCACCGAAGCAAGTTATAACGTCTCGAAAGAAACTAAAGTTACTTTCGCGAAGTACCACATTATCCACAGTGACAGCACACCTCTAAGAAAATTATCCCCATTTTTGGTGGCCAAGTGCCTAAAAGAAAAAATAGGACCCACATACAAAGCATCTAAAATGTCAAGCGGTGACCTCCTTTTGGAGCTAACCGAAAAAGACCAAGTGCCTAAGCTATCCCAACTTACCAGCATTGGAGAAACAGCTGTCACCATTTCGGTCCATCGCTCTCTAAACACCAGCAGGGGAGTAATCTCTGAGGAAGACTTCTTAGGCCTTAGTGACGAAGAGCTCCTCGAAGGTTTCCAAGACCAAAACGTCATCAAAGTCCAAAGAATTGTAATCCGTCGCAATAATCAGGAAGTGCCCACCAAACACGTAATACTAACCTTTGGAACATGTGAAATGCCCACCTCTCTTAAGGCTGGGTACTTAAAAATAAATGTCAGACCCTACATTCCCAACCCCAGACGCTGTTTCAAATGTCGGAGATTCGGACACGCCTCGCACTCTTGCAGAGGCAAAGAAACATGCGCAAAATGCAGCGCAAACGACCACAAATCAGAAAACTGCTCATCCTCACCCCACTGTGTTAACTGTGACGGGGAACACCCAGCGTATTCCCGGTCATGCCCATGTTGGAAAAAAGAAAAAGAAGTGATCGCTCTGACCGTCAAAGAAAAAATATCATTCAGCGAAGCGCGAACACGGCTATCATACCTTTTCCACAGAAGTTACGCCGATGTGACGCAGTCGGGGGCAGTGTCACAAAGGCCTCAGGAGTCGACCGCTACCACACCCAGTGGTTCTATGGTGGCTCAAACCGCCCCCGTAAAAGAAGCAGCGCCAGCTGCTCCATGCACATGAAAGGGCCCGCAGACTCCGGTCTCCCTGGGCCCTAAACTTAATAGAGTGCCAAGGCCTGAGATCCGTTTCTCAGCGCCTCACTCTCGATCTTCCAGTGCCTCAGACAAGGCAATGGAGATCGACCACAAAACTCCGGTGTCATCGACACCGAAGGACAAGCGCTCTCTCGAGCGTACCAAACAGGACAAGGACAAAGTCCCAGTAACCACAATAAGCAAGCGATAACCGTAAGGGTTATCGTATTTCTCTCTATTTCTACTTCTTAATATTGTCACCTATCATCTTTTATACTGATCAATCCCCAGAAGTATATTTACCTAACTTTATTCTGCCATGGCTTTTATCGTACATTGGAACTGTAGAGGCTTAATTCATAACTTAGGTGACATAAAGGACATCATTAACAAATTCTCACCAGTAGCCTTTTGCCTCCAAGAGACAAATCTTGGTGCAAAACACAGCCATTTTCTAAAAGGCTTCAAAGTTGCCCGAAAGGACCGCGAACACTGCAACCGTCTTTCAGGAGGAGTAGCCATAGTGGTGCAGGGCAGCACTCCTACGCGAGATGTCCAAATAAACACATCTTTCGAGGCCGTAGCCGTCACCATCCTATCATACAAAACCATCACCATCTGCTCACTGTATATCCCACCTCACACCCTTTTCACCACCAAAAACCTACAAAATCTAGTGGAACAGTTGCCAAAACCATTTATCTTAGTTGGGGATTTCAATGCCTATTCAACCCTTTGGGGTAGCGACAAAACTGACGCAAGAGGGCAAGCCGTGGAAGATTTCATTTTATTAAGTGACATCTGCCTTCTTAATTCCGGTGCTTTTACCTACTTTTCACCAACCTCGCGCACTTTTAGTTGCTTAGATCTCGCCATGTGTTCACCGTGTATTTTTAATGATTTTAAATGGGACGTCGTCAACACGTCTTATGGTAGTGATCATCAACCCGGCATCATAAAACTCATACCATCTTACCCAACTCTAACAAGCAGGCCACGCCGGTGGAAATTACAGCACGCGAACTGGCCAGTTTTCACAGAAAACGCTAAGCTCTATGAAGTTTTCTCATCGGAGCTTTCTGTTGAGGAACTAAACGAAGAGTTCGTCAAAGTTTTAATCTTAGCAGCAGAAAAGGCAATACCGCAATCATCCGGCATCGTACGCAAGAAATTCAACCCTTGGTGGACAAACGAGTGTACTGATGCCAAAAAACAACAAAAAAAGGCCTGGGGAATTCTACGAAGATACCCCACCTACACCAACCTCATCAACTTCAAACAGGCAAAAGCCAGAGCCCGATTTATTCGAAGACAGGCAGAAAAAGATTCATGGCAAAAATACATATCATCAATTAACAGTTCAGTCACATCTAAACACATCTGGGACCAGGTGAGGAAGTTCAAGGGAGAGTACTCCTCCTACACAATACCACTGCTTACAAGTCCAGACACACAATCAACACTAGAAGACCAGGCCAACCTATTAGGAGAACACTTTTATAAGGTATCATGCTCAGCAAATTACACCAATACATTCCTGAAATATAAAGAAAATGCAGAAAGACAAAGATTGCCTACTAGCAGTACCTCAAATGAAAGTTATAACCTTCCGCTTACGCTGCACGAATTAAACAGGGTACTTTCTGCCGGGAAAAAAATGGCAACAGGGTCTGACCAGATACACTACGCAATGTTGGCACACCTATCCCAAGCATCCGCGAAAGCACTTCTCCAATTCTTCAACAAAATATGGGACTCTGGCATAATGCCTGAAGATTGGAAAAAAGCCATAGTCATACCATTCCTAAAACCTGGTAAACCCCCAACAACCCCAAGTAGCTATAGACCCATTGCATTGACAAGTTGCCTTGCAAAAACTTACGAAAGCATCATAAATATTAGACTTACCTTCACTCTGGAATCAGAACACCTAATAGACGCACACCAGTGCGGATACAAAAAGGGCTGTTCCACCACTGATCACATTGTTAGGCTGGAACAAGAAATACGACAAGCATTTCTACACAAACAGTTCTGTCTCTCGGTCTTCTTTGACTTAGAGAAAGCATATGACACAACTTGGAGATACGGAATTCTCAGAGATCTAGCTAACTTAGGGATTCGCGGAAGAATGCTGAACTGCTTATACGATTTTTTATCGAATAGAACTTTTCAAGTACGTTTGGGTACGGTACTGTCACGAATATTTGTCCAAGAAAATGGTGTACCACAGGGCTCCGTTTTGAGCACCACCCTGTTTATAGTGAAAATGAACTCCATCAACAGGGCTATACCCCGTACAGTCATGCACTCCATCTATGTTGATGATCTGCAAATTGCATGCCGAGCCTCCAGCCTATTATCCTGCGAAAGGCAACTCCAAATTACAATAAATCGGCTTACGAAATGGGCCGACCAAAATGGTTTCCGCTTTTCAGCCCAAAAAACCACAGCTGTTCTCTTTACGCAAAAGAGAGGATTGTTCCCTGAACCCGCGCTCAAACTATACAACATCAACATGCCGGTAAAACAAGAACACAAATTTCTAGGAATCACATTCGACCGAAAACTAAACTTTCTGCCACACATAAATGCGTTGAAAACTAAGGCAAACAGAGCACTCAATGTGCTCAAATTACTCTCCCATAAACACTGGGGTTCCGATCGACTCTGCCTCATACGTATTTACCGATCTCTTGTACGCAGCATTTTAGACTACGGATGCATAGTCTACGACTCGGCGCGAAACTCATACATCCGCCGTCTTGACCCTATACACAACCTCGGTCTCCGTCTGTCAAGTGGTGCTTACAGAACATCACCTGTGCAAAGTCTATACGTAGAATGCAATGAGCCCCCTCTATGTGATCGAAGAGCGTTACTAACCTTGTCATATGTTTTAAGAATAAGGTCGTCACCTGAACACATCTGCTATGAAATTGCCGCAAAATGTGACTCGCGCTCACACTACCTCAACAAACCGAACCTAATCAAACCACTTGTCCTACGTTTCGAGGAATACTGCCGCTTTTATACCATTCCTGATGAATCACTAGATGTCGCTATTAAACCACCAAGACTGCCGCCATGGTTTGACCTGTCACAGCTATGCGAATTTTCACTAAGCCGTTTCAACAAAAAAAGCACCCCACCAGAACACATAATCCAAGAATTTTATACACTTCAGCACGAATATAGGGATTACGAAGAATTTTACACAGATGGCTCAAAAACGGAGGACCACGTGGGTATTGGGATTGTGACGACGAAAAGCGCAATTTCTGTGAAAGTACCTCGTAGTTTTTCTATTTTTTCAGCTGAAGCTTATGCCTTGAGTGAAGCAGTTCGGAAAATCATCGCTGAAAAATACAAGAAAGCAATCATATACACCGACTCACTAAGCACACTAAAAGCACTACATATAAAATCCGAATGTGAGCCTATAGTAGGCGACATTCTAAACATGGTACACTTAAACAGCCAGGCAACCTGCATCCGTTTCTGCTGGGTCCCAAGTCATGTTGGGATACCCGGAAACGAAAAAGCAGATATGTATGCTTCCCAGGCAGCCCATAAAACAGTAACAAAAGTAAAAATTCCCCTTAAAGATATCCAGAGAACAATTCGCCTGGCCCTACTAGCAAAATGGCAAAAGCAATGGGACACCTGCACGAACAATAAGCTCCACCTGGTGAAACCCACACTCGGGGAATGGAAGACCTGCCGTCACCAGCAACGGTTTATTGAAGTTGTATTATGCCAAATTCGCATTGGACACACACACTTGACACACAACTTCTTACTCGCAAAGGAAGAACAACCAACGTGTGAAAAATGCCAAGAAGCGTTAACACTTATGCACATCCTAATCACATGTCCTACCATTGAAACACAGAGACAAAAACATTTCAGCAAGCTATACAAACAACACGTACCTTTACACCCTGCTTTGTTCCTAGGAGAAGACCCTCTAGTACCTCTTCCTGACTTGCTAAACTTTCTGAAAGAATGTAACCTGTTAAATAAGCTTTAAAATCTCATCTTTTTAGTGTTCATTCCTGAAAGTCTTGTGTCTGGCGCAGCATAGCCTTAGCTGCTTTTGCGCCATAAAAAACCAAATTAACCTAACCTTTCTTATTCTTGGGTCGCTCTCCTCAGGCTGCCACGTCTAAAAACTGCGACATTGCTGTATATTGATTTCTATACATCGCTGCTTGATGTGGTCACTGCACCTGTGGTGTAGAATGGTCATATTTACAAGAAACCACACAGTGCTCTGTCCCAATTTACGAGCACTTTAACTGTGTGTACACGTGGACTTTTTTAATTGGACATACTACAGGTTCATGCCCTCTGGACAGTGCAGAAAATGATTCCGATAGTGTGTGCTCTCTAATTGGGCCCATAGCTCAAGGGGGAGGGCCCTAGGACCCCCTTCCCGAAATACCAATGAAGGGGGGGGGGGGGGCATCAAGAACAAATGATTAAAATAGAAAGTTTTCAACAGGTGCCCCCTCCCCCCCCTTCAAAGAAAAAAAGTTTCTGTCTTTGGGCTTGTCTGTAATATTTCCTTTTTTCTTCTTGCAAATGCTTCCCTACCTGAAAAAAATTATCACTGAATGTTACGCTTTTTGATATTGTGCATTATTCATCTGCAAGTTCTCAAGAAACGAAATAACTGAGTTCTACTGAGCCTGCTCTTCAGAAGAGCCCTACTTGAACTTAGAATTTGTGTATGTTTGTGGCAAATCTTGTAGCTGCTATCAAAATATTGAGTTAAAGGTCCTGGTGGTTGAAATGGATTGGAAGCCTTGCTTCTTTAAGACATCCATCACACGACATGCATACTTTTTCAGATTGCTGAGCAAAATATTTATTTACTTTTTGACTGCAGTGACTTCTGTTACTGCTAACCTTTCCTTTTGCGCTACATATTAGTAAAAATGTGCGACTGCTTATAACTTCTTTACATCAAGGAGATTCTTTGTCAAAACAGGGCCCTTAACTAGAGTTTGCTGCTCCCACCCCAGTTATGAAGTAGTCTTTCCTTTTTTTATTTCACACTGCAGATCGATCCCTGAGGCCACTATTCCCTGCTGGCTATTTCTATGATACACAGGTACGTTTGGTGCTTTTCTCATTGGTAGCATTTAGTGTTGCGACCCGACACTTTTGCGACAGCCTTATTTAGCTCCAAAACGCATGTAGCAACGATTGGGGAGAGGAATGCAACAAGAATGATGGAAACTGGAGCCTGAAAAGTGAAGTTAGAAGTCCTTAAAGTTCAAAACTTGAGCAGACAACGAGAAACGTTTCCTTTTGCATTTCACTCACCTGCTGACATCAAAGACCACTTCCGATCATAGTGCGCGTCTCATAAAGACATGCTAGAAATGTCACTTCATGGTTGCCTTCATACAATATCTCGCTACCATTTTTTTTTGACGGCGTCGTTGGCATAGTTACTATGAACCACGTGCATCTGATAGCAGACGTTCCTGTGATCACACTGTGTAAGATACACAAATAAGCTTTGGGTGGGGTCACTTCTCGGCTTGCTTGAAAGACGCGTTCTACGGCAACGCTGGCTCCCATCGCCTGTCGCATTTTTGGCTTGCTAAAAATGCGGGATGCATTTCCACCTTCTCCATCCAGTTGCTGGCGTACCATAGTCTCGTCCGCTGACTAAGCAGCACGTTCGTTGTTCTGAAAACACATATTTTAGAAACAGTAATGATTTCTTTCTGAGACAGAATAAAAAAGTTTTTTGCTGTTTTGAACATTCGCTTGTGTAGCCTAGCTACCACCATACGAATATTGCACGCTAATTGTCGAGTCGAGCCAATCAAAAGTGAACGGTCTTCGTCGCCACGTCACATGACATGACGTTACTTCCAATAACAAAAATAGCCGATGTGTGTCGCCGTAGTCTCAATTTAAGGTAGTTTGTCCCATAAATTAAAATTATAACAGCGTCGATTTTGGCATTGCCACTTGCGCAATGCCGTCGGTGCATTCCACAGCACCAGAGGAAACGATGAAAAATGCATGCTCAAGTTGTGCCTCAGAGCCCCTTTAAGAGATTTCTGTTGAGTGAGAGTCTACTGGTAATGCAGAGTTCTTCGCTTTAGTGCTCTCCTAATTGATAACGAAGAGACAGGTTACATTTAAAAGCCCTAGTGTTTTCATTTTTCTTAGTTTTTTTTTATCTACATTAGTCATTGGGGGATACATATTTTAGTTCACTGGGCACGTAAAGTTATTGCTTGTCATGAAAATTACAGTCGTGTTAATAATAATTGAATGTCTTTTTTGTACAGTACCCCTAGAATCGATGCAACAGCATGCAAAAAGCACTTTCAGTAAAAAATACAGCAACTCGGCATGCAAACATAGAATGATTTATTCAATACATCATGAAAAACTGAATGCTAGATGAACAAATCTCGATTGCGTGATGAAATTTTAACATTGCTACCCTTGTGTTTCAGCTGGTTTGCAACTTGCTCGCCGTCGATGGGGTAAATGACCCTGACATCGTGAGTCTCAATGCAGGTGAGCCGTGCGGCATTGTTGGCTTTACACTCAAACATCATTATAAAAAAGGCACACCTGCCATGAAAACACTTCGTTATATTTGACAATTTGTTATAAGCATATGTTTGTAGCTGTGTATCTATGACAGAGCTATTGTTCATTTACTTTGTTATAACCGATGATTCGTTATATCTGGGTTCGTTATATTGAGGTTTGAGTGTACTTGTGTCACACAAGCGTTTGGAAGTCCATCCAATCGTTAGTCTATTGATTCAATGGTCACGTGCTGGTTGCTACGCTAGGTGTTTCGAAGGCTGTTGAGTTAGTAGTTTGTGGAGTCAACAGACAACCCCACAACTCCAACTTCAGTCTTCATTGAGCGATGGAAGTGGAAACAGTGCCGACATTTTTTTACCTTCATAGTGTGCTCAATCACAGGATTAGAAAAAAGGAATCCAACAAGTATGTTATAAATGTAGTACCATTGAACCCCTTTATAAGAGGCATGCACCGGGGAGCGATTCTTGTTTTTTGTATGTAGTGCCTCTTATAAGGAGGCTACCAAGCAAGAATTTTTTTATCGACCCTCTGTTTCACTATATGCACACTGTCGTCTCTTGCACCTTCTTGTTTCTTACATCCGTGTCTCCTATGAAAGGGTTTGACTGTGTATGCGAGTGCAGTGAATTATTTAATATGGCAATGTTGCCACTTAAAATGAGCAAACTGCGTTTCATTTAACAGGAGTTCCGTTTACTGAGAGTTGAACATAGGTGCAGAATACAAGCCCGAAACCAAGCACTGCAGAGGCGATAGTTCCCTTTAACCAGTAGTACTGTTTAACAGATTTCGGTTTACTGAGAGTCTACGATATACTCTCGACAACAACTACGTGCTCGTATTTGTCCTGGTGTCTTGCCGTGTATCACTTGCCACGTTTTCTCCTCTCGGCAGCTTAAATGCAATATACACGTTCATTACTAAGAATAATCAATATCTTGAACAACATCGACAGACATAACAATGACAGATATATCTGAGTTTTTAAGCGAATCTGTATTGTTTAGCTCTAGGTGACATGAATACGAAACTAAAAATATGCAGCACCTCACAATTGTTTGCGAGAAATGTCAGAATCACTCAGCAGCCATTCAAGACTGCCATGTAGCAGTACAACAACTTTGAGTTTATAGAGTTGTGGCGATTCGATAGCTATTGACTGGGCATCCTTTCAGAGAGGTTCATATGGCAAAGGTACAGTTGAACCCCTTAATGATAGACATGCCCCGGGGAGCAATTCTTCTCTTTTATATGAGATATCTCTTATAAGCAGGGTACCTCGTATGCATTTTCTTATCAACACCTATTTCAAAATAGGCGCTCTGGTGTCTTTTATTCCCATTAGTCTCTTACACCAGTCTCTCTTATAAAAGCGTTCAACTGTTTTACTGTACTGATTGATTGAATAAAAGTAAAGCTTGGAAGAGAAAACTGCGTCTCCTTGACATGCGACAACCATGTGACACTTAAACATGCTTTAGGCCTCTGATATTTTTTACTTGACAGCCTCTTTCTATTTGAGACTGCAGGTGAGTTTTGATTAGAAATCGATGCGCTTTCTGTCTTTGTTCATATAAATTCACATGGCTAGTTAAAGTGCAGGTGTCTCGGTGAGCATATGTAAGGAGGTTGGACTCATTACTGAGGATGTTTACTCTTATAACAAAAAAAAAATTATTATGACGGGCAGCACAACCCATCTCTTGTTTCACCTGTTTCTCGTCATGTTTGCTTTGTACTAGTAATTATGGACACATGGCTCAGAGAATGGGCTCTTTCAACCTTGTTCCTTTGTGCTGCAACGCATGTGTTAAAATGTGATTTCGCTCGCCGCATGATTGCAGCATCGGCGGCGCTCTCGCTTTCTGACGTGCCTTGGAATGGACCCATCGGTGCTGTCCGTGTGGGGCTCATCGATGGTGACGTGGTGATCAACCCAACACGGCGGCAGATGACGCAGAGCGCGCTAAACCTCATCGTCGCTGGCGCTGAGCATAACCAGGTTGGTGAGTAAACCTTTTTCATCTTGTTTCCGCATTTCAACAAATCAACTTGGTGCACCAATCAATACTGCAGGCTGTAAAAAAGTGAACTGTGACGGATTGTCTCTTTGGCTGAGTATGTTGTGAGTGTGTACTGATGAAGCAATCTTGGCAGTGCTGGAGGTGTGGCAATGCACACAAACCATAGTTATAATATAGTTGCCTATTAGAAGAAAATTAATTTCGTTATAGCTGAAAATTTATTATAAAAGTTATCTCTAATACTGTATTTATTGCAAGACAATTTTTCCTTTACTTTGTTATAACCGATATTTCGTTATATCTGTGTTCGTTATATTGAGATCTGAGTCTGGTTTAGTGTTCTTCTTAGCAGTCCTCAGACAACACCTAAACAGATGCGCTGATCACCAAATTGTCGTGGCTATGATGTAGGTCCTGCCATGCAGCCTGAAATGTTTCAGCATCCCCTTGTAGCGGTGGTCATGCAATGTATTTACACATTCTAGGTCATGCCTTCGTCAAAGGTCACTCCTGGCGAGCAATACTGATGTAGTTCTTAAGGGTCTGTATCAAACAGCAGGCCTTTCGGTAACAAGCCTCTGGCTACACTCCTGCTCCATTTTCAATTCCCAGGTTTCCCAAGTGCACTCCTGTGCTTCTATCGCAGCCAAAGCTGGGCTTTCTATTCGCTCTAAAAATTTGGTATGGTGCTAGTTGGCCTTAAACTACAATAAGAAGGCTAAAAACATTTAACGAGAGTGTTCATGTGTTAGCAGCTGTTGAGCTCATAGTGAACTAAGTGAACCAGGGAGCATGCATTTGCGCACCTACCGTAAAAACCGGAATATAGGTCGAATAAAAAAGAAACACAATGGAAAGTCGACTCTGGTCTTGTATACAGGTCATTGGCAGAAAAAATGTGAGGAGGAGGAGGATTGAAAGAGGAAGGATAGGGAGGTTAGCCAGTTCTCAGACTGGCTGGCTACCCTGTACTGGGGAAGGGGGTAAGGGGAATAAAAGATGAGAGAAAAGAGACCTTTAAAAAAAAAAAGGAGCGAGAAGGTCATCAGACGATCCACGACGCTGCTTACAGTCTGTCTCTAAGACCACTTGCCCGCAGAAAGCCCAACAACGCTCTCAATGCCTTGCATGCAGAGGACGGTCTCGGCCAGTGTCCTAATAGCCTTTCTTCCGACATTTGGCGATTGTCTAGTCTGTCTAAAGCTTTCGACAGTTCTTTTCTTGGCACGCTGAAGCGAGGACACTCGCAGAGAAGATGGAAGAAAGTCTCTGCGCAGCAACAGTTGTCACATGTCGGGCTGCTGGCCATTCTGATTCGAAACGAATAAGCATTCATAAAGGCCACCCCAATCCACAGACGGCACAAATGTGTCTCCTCAGCTCTGGTTATTCCTGATGGAAGATGGAACTGTAGGTGTGGGTCCAAATTATGAAGGCGAATGTTGGTGAATGCCGGTGAATTCCACCGAGCGAGTGTCAGTTCTCGTGCAAGTGATCGAAGCCTTGCAGTGGCGTCCGTTCTTGATAATGGTATAGCTGCACAAGGGGCATAATCATGAGCAGATCGGGCTGCTTCATCTGCACGGTCGTTTCCATCAATGCTGCAGTGGCCTGGTATCCATTGATATGCTATGTCATGTTGTTTCTCTATAGCCCGGTGATGAAGCAGTCGTATTTCAGCAATTAGCTGTTTGTTTGGTCCATGACGATATGGCGAGGCAATGCCCTGGAGGGCTGTGAAAGTTTCGCAACAATAGGCAGCTGAAGTCGGAAGCCTCCACTGCCATCGTGAGCGTCAGCAGCTGTGCCGTTGGGTAACGCTAGACAAGGCCTATAGTGTTCTAGCAGTGCCATTTTGCCTCGGTTATCTCCTGTCTGTCTGCTGTTTTCTTTTTTCTATTTCGTTTAGAAATGAGTGGTAGTCAACGGTAGTTTAAAATAGGCTTTAAGAAAAAAGTTATCGAGTATGCCGAAGTGCACATCAACCTGGGGGTACAACGGAAATTCAGTGCATCGAAGAAAAGCGCCCGATACTGGAGGAGCCAAAAGCAGCACATCACGTCCTGCAACAACAACAACAAAGAAAACATTGTTTTGTGGACGGACTACAGCACACCCTGAACAAGAAACGCTACTTGCCTCCGGGAGCTGTGTGCAAGGTCACTACCTATAACAGCGAAATGTACCCACATGAAATCTCTAGAGATAGCGCGGGACTCTGGACTCACGAGGGTGCTATCGTGGGTGCGCTGATTTATGAAACAGAAGGGCTTTGGGCTGAGGCGGCATCCTTCAGTTTTTCTTCAAATGCTGCATCAGTAACGCATTGAATGGAACGGAGGACGATGCACTCTGAGATGTTAATAGTGAAAAACAGACGTTGTTGGACTCAAGTTCGGACAAGTCTGAGTGACAGCACTTTGTGGCCTTCTGGCATTTAACTACATAAGACTAGTGTCCAAATAAAAAGAAATGTCACCACAATGCAGCTGGTTGTGCCATGTGTTTATGAAAGTAAGGGTGCGCCAGGGTAATTTGTGTATTTTAAGAGTTTTTTTCGAAGATTTGAAGTTTGGGGCGTCAACCTATGTTCCGGTCTGGCTTATATTCTGGTTTTTACAGTACTTCTTTTTCCCACCTACTTGCTGTACAATGCTACAGTTTGCTATGCTGTGCCGTTTTTGTCACTGTTCTTTAGGCTTGCACGGATATTACGGTATTCGAATTCGCTTTGATTTGAAGTTTAAATTGTTAAAATTTTTGAAGTATTCGGAATGAACAAATAGGTGTCCATTAGTCATCATGTAACCTCTTGTAAATGTGGTTTCACTGCAGTAGAGGAGTGCAAAGTCGGGAAAGCATCTGTTCAAGTGTACTTTAGTTTGCATATAATCCTCTTGTAGAGGTAGTTTCACTGCACTGAGGAGGTGCTGAGCCATGAAAACATCCAATAAAACGAAATCAGTATCGCTGTGAGGCCACGCTTCAAAATTCAATTAACATATTACTCTTACACCGGGTAATAATTTTTTTATCAAGTTTAAAAGTTTGTTCGGCTTATGTGCTCTAAGAATAGTAAATTCTAAAGCGTAATATATTTTGCAGGTTATCTCTTGCATTCCACCGAAGGTCAAATCGTGCTGCTGTTCAAAGTTATGTCTTCCATTTTTTTTAACCACAAAAATAGCATTTGCATAGGCCTTGTTTCAATTCTTAAAGTATATTGCGCAGCTTAGTCGAGCCGTGACAAATATGTCCATTTGCCTTTATAATATGTGACATATACGATTGGAATTCGATTACAAATAATTCAACCGAAATCGCTATTCGCTTCCTATTAGCTTTAAAGCTGGAATTCACTATGTGCACAAGCCTACTGTTCTCTTTCGATTGATTTCTGCCTATTTGTTTTTCTCTTTCTGTGTCTGTTTCTCTTCCTTTCTTTATCTCTGTTCTTTTCTTATTCTCTTATGTGCACCAACGTAATCATATGGTTCTCATAAATGGTTGTTCTTCTAGCGTGCATGCTTACCAAATGGTCACAGCGCTCGCCTTCAGACCATGGGTACTCATGCACGAATTCCACGTCACCTATTAATTTATTTCATTTTACTTAATTTTCTGCTCCTCTCCGCATCCCTTCTCCTCCTTCACTTGTTTTTTCGTTGTGTTGGTTGGCAATGCATGGTGTTGTCATCACTGGGCGAGGTTTTTCAGCAGAAATTTGATGACCTAACCTGCGGCTCAACTAGGCAACTTTGCTGTTAAAAATACATGATAATGTGCGAGGTCCGAAAGCTGTTGTCTCAGTAGCCAGTGTTTCAACAGTAGGACATCTCTGTTGGGATAATTTTCCTTTACCCTAATGTTGGCTTGAAACTCCTAGCACACTTCATCTCACGATGAAGCCATGCTCGAAAGGCGGCTCGAATGCACCAGGTCTGGCGGTTTTTGCTTTTCAGTCATGCTCGAAGCGTCGGCAGACAATGTGCTCCTGCAGGACTTCCAGAAAGCAGTCCGCTGCGGTGTGAAGGAGACGCAGCTCATCATTCGTCAGATCAAGGAGTTCCAGAGTGCGTACGGCCGGCCGAAGCGCACTATGGAGAGGCTGTTTGTTCCATCGGCAGAGCTCGTCGAAGCGGCAAGACTGTGAGTCTACGCATGCAAAAAATGTTTTGTGCTTCACTCTCATCAGAAAGGCACGAAAAGGAATTCTTTCTTTTTATCGAAACATGTCCTTGGGTTAGTTGGTGAGTCGTCCTATAGTAAGTAAAATTAGCGCAACTTGGAAGCACTCCAAAAAAGTTGCTTAAGCTTCCTGTCAAGAAACACACACCACAGACGGCGTTCTTTCTTTAGTTTGGCAGTGCCCTGGGCAGCTGCAGTCTTAGAAGGTAAAATACGAGGGGGCATATCAGTGTGAGTGAATTACTGCAGTAAAAATCAAAGCAGCAACGATGAAGGGAACAAACGCAAAAAAATGCATGGATAAGGTGGGGTGCCACTTCAAGGGGCCCTGCAACACTTTTTGAGCATGCTCAGAAAATTCTGTCGATAGGCAGTAGAGGCTCCTGAGAACAGGCGAGGCAAACATTATAGTGCAGCACGCAGCCGGCAATTCACAATAAATTCTCCAAGTCAGCTAAAAATTGCGTTCTCTTTTTTCAACAAGTGATGGAAGAAGCTCGAAAATCACTCGTCACAGCCATTGTATCAGGCATTGGCTGATTTGAGCATGGCGCCGTCGGTCGTTACAGGGCTCACCGCGGGAGGTCGGGCTTGTCTACGCATGCATGCTCAATCGCGTTGAAAAAGCCGCACATTTGAAGGAAAAAAAAAAAGAAAAAAGTGCTCGAGCTCACGAGATGCACATAACGTATTTTTTTCGCACTTCCCATTCCTCCCTGCTTAGGTTCCAGTGCTTTCGTCGGAAGGAGAGAACAGGGAATGCGATTCCAGCGTGCGACAAATCTTCGTAACTGTGCTCGTACTGGACGGATTCTAAATGATTTTGTGGCATTGAATTCGTGAGGCAATAAGCCCTTTTAATGAATTCATTCCATGGCTAGTTGAAAAAGTGTTGCAGGGCCCCTTTAAGCAGCCAAGATGTTCTGATGCGTTTTTCACTGCTTATGCGATTACGGACAAGCTGTATATCCGCTCTCGCCTTTGACCCACATTCATTGCAATTACGAAGTTGGTGTCAAATTTGAATCGTGACACTTTTTATTACTTCTTTTGCAGGTTGGCTGGAATTCGTGTGCGGGACATACTGTCAGATTCCAATCACGACAAAGTAAGGCGCTTCCCTTTTGAGTTTACAACTGTTTAAGTGTTTTATTCTTAGCCTTTTTTTCTTTTTAATTTCTTACGCTTGTGTTGTGTGGGTTCCGTAGTGCTCCCGTCGTCTTTTCGTTATGTCAGTGTCATTGAATTTGCCTCTTTAATGATTTTTCAGATCACTCTCATCTGGGTCTCTTAACACTGAAGGCAGTGGCATAACTACGATGAATCGGGACACTAAACTCCAACCTCATTATATAACAAAGTTGCATCTTACACAAAAATAAGTTTGTTATATCCGAAAATTTGTTATATATGCATATATATATATATACTACACGGAAAGGTGAAATACAAGAACGGCGGCACACTTACCACTTGGGGAAGAGTGGGTGCGGGGGAGGTATTGTTGACAATGATGACATTGCTCATCTACCTCTGCCCTACTCTGTTGAGTTGCTGCCCCTTTCTAACTACGCCGTGTGGGTCTTGCTTCATCTCCTAGATTTTCTATATTTTATTTAATGTTTCTCCTCCCGTTTAGCTGTTTCTTCTTCTTTTTTTCTCTCTCTCCTTTCTCTTTTTTTTTTACTTTTCTTTTGACCCCTTCCCTCCTGTCTCGACAGGCTATAAGAAGACACGGAACATGTGTAAATACTACTATGCCTTGAAAAAGACGGGGTTCCCGTCGAAACGTCGGCACAATAAACAGTTATGTGAAAGCGCATCTACTTTCACACATATATATATATATATATATATATATATATATATATATATATATATATATATATATATATATTGTAATGATGATAAGTGCAGTGCTCAGGCACGGGCGCATACGCGACTACAGAAGTAAGAGAGGAAGACGAAGTAGAGAATAAGAACAGCTGGCCCAGGATCGGGTGTTGTCTCTTGTTCTCTGTCTCGCACATCACAATGGCGCAGTCGACGAAGAAGAAGGCTTACGTCCCGGCTTCGTCAACCAGGACAGCTGCGATAAGCGCCCCTTGAGGACAACGTCAAGGCCTCCTTGGCAGCTGTTCACCTGCCGCCACCGCCACCACCGTTCGGGGACGGCGTCAAGGCCTCCTCGGCGGCTGCAGTACACGTTACCGGTACCATTTCACAAGGGACGCCGTCCACGCGTCCTTGGCTATGGATTCTGCCGTGAGCGCAAGCCGACAAGTGAGCCCGCTGCGGGAAGCCACCGGTACGTGTCTTCGTGGTTTGTCGGCAGTGCGGGCTTCTCCATCAAGGAACGCCGTTCACGCTTCCTTAGCGATGGGGTCCCACCCGCCACTTCAGCCACCCTTCAGACCATCTGTGGACGGCGTCCAGGCCTCCCCTGTGGTTCTAGGACATGACCTGATTGAAACCCTGCCACCGTTTCACGGCAGGGATCCACAGCGGCTCCTGTCCCTTGGGAATGCCGCTCACGTTTCCCATGGCCTACATTCACGTTGCGGTACTCTTTCAACAAACGAGCCGCCACGGAACGCCGTCCAGGCTTTCCTGCTCGTCGACCACACCGGGGTGAGTGCTGCAATTGCTACTTACTCAAAGACCACGATCACTGACTCTTCGGGCTTAATGCCCGACAGCACCGCGGACCTGCGGCGTACCATTGCGCTAATCCGCGTCGAGACTAACGAACTGACAGCGTTGATCGCCGAGCGTGCTCCTACAATGTTGCCAGCATTGTGTGACATTAACGCAGTGTTGGATGTAGCTGCCTCATACGACCTTGAGGCAAGCACACCGGAGCAACGCAGCTAGCTTCAGTCTTCTCTCATCGAGCTCTCACACCAGCTCGACTGCTTCGCGTCGGTGATCTCTGCATTGCCACCTGCCGCCTCACAATCATCAGGCGTCTGCGAACTACCGGAATTCCACGAGGTCCGGAACGACGCCGACGGTTGGGTGGCAACTGTCAACGCGATAGCAATGCGCGAGGCCTGGACAGAAAATCAGAAATGGTATGTGGCCATAGACTGTCTTCGGGACGGTGCAGCGGCGTGGCACCGGTATGAAGGCTGGAAGCAGCAGTCATGGGCGGAGTGGAGCTACAAGCTCATAGCTGCTTTTGGTCGGACACTCTCCGATCTCCCTTCCACCACCCAGTCCAACCTGACCGGTAACGAGGATGGAGTTCAAGGAGGGTTCCATCTCGAGGCTCCAGCTGAGCACTCCAGTTTTCCACATGAGTTTCCAGACTCGTCGCTGGTACCGGACCCGAATTCATGTCAGCCATCGGCCACCCCGTCCTCTTTCGTGGAGGGAGATACAGAGGGGCACAGGGTAGCTGGACCCTTCGTCAACGTGCCCACTACCATATATCGAGCTCAAGTGGGGCGGCAGCTCGATGTCTCATCGCAGTCCTCCAGTCTGACAACAGGCAACAAGACCACCCTCGAGCCTCAGCAATTGGCATTGCAGCCTGTCCAGAACGCCGACAGCAATGAAGACGAGTGCCCCAAACTGTACCAACGGAATTGCTTGCTAAGCGTGCTGCGACCGCTACGAGATAGCCATGGTCACCGACCAGTGTGTTCGACAGCCCCGCAAGGCAAGTCATGGCGTCCACGAGAGAGACCTCACAGACACAGCCAATACCGCCCGCCAGAGACGGTATTGGCAACTCAGGGTTCCGGGCATGCGGGCCGAAGACGACCATTGCGAAACACTCAATGGCGTCCTCTAGAGCCATCGTCGCCCGACTTTCAAAGCAAGACACAAAAACCGGCACGACAAAGTCAATGGCGTCCACCAGACACATCATCGCCTTACTTTCAACGCAAGACGCACCGTGGTCATAATCGGCCTATGCGAGGCAGCCAATGCCGCCCACCAGAGGCACTAGTTCTACCTAGAGTGGTTCATAGCCTAGGCCCTCTGAATGTTTCGACCTTCCAAGAAAAGGACCTGTGCCAGTGAAGGGCAAGCTTAGCAGGACTGCATGCTCGCAGTTTGACCGAGTGTAATGATGATAAGTGCAGTGCTCAGGCACGGGCGCATACATGACTACAGAAGAAAGAGAGGAAGACGAAGTAGAGAATAAGAACAGCTGGCCCAGAATTGGGTGTTGTCTCTTGTTCTCTGTCTCGCACATCACAATATATATATATATATATTGCAAGGCTATTCTTCATTTACTTTGTTGTAGCCGATATTTTCATTACATCCAGGTTTTAGTGTAATTTCTTGTATAACAAGCGTTGAAAGCTAGGCAAGTTGGTTCAGGTTCACTTTCTAGCAAACGGCTTCATCTCTGTCAAGCTGTCTTCGTTTTTTTGTGTGCCCCATTCGGTGGGCAATTTGCTGGAAAATGAGTTTTTTGTATCTTGTTGTTGTCGTTCGTTAGTGTCACCTATTTTCTTGTGGTAATCGGGCACAAGCAACGTTTCATAAATCTGGAGCAGCTCTTGTTTTTGGTCTCTGCAGGTTTCTCGAGATGAGGCCTTGAGTGCTGTGAAAGATGATGTCATTGAGAAGCTCCAGGGTAAGAGGAGACGTTCACTTCTATCTGACAACCCTGACCCTTGGGGGGTCTCTTCTTGCTTAATATAATAAATCGTGCGTGTGACTACTATTAGTAACAAATGTTAAAACAGCACTGACATCAAATTTACTCATGTCAAGATTTTTGGTCAACGAGTAGCTATCGAGCCCCTAGTAGCGATTCGTGACCTAAAACGCATCTGAGTGATGAAGTAGTAACTGTAATATTGATTAATATATTCGCTATTGAATGCGGTTCAAAATGGGTGGTAAGCCTGCCAAATTGTAGTGCTGGCAGCGCTACCTCGTGGCCACGTCGAGGCTGCTGCACAGCTGGTGCTGCTTTCACAAAAAATGGTGACGTCACACTGGCGTTTTGTCTGCTAGGAGCGCACTTACAGTCAGTCCACCTGTGTCTCTGAAGGCGTAGACATGCCTCTGTCGCCAACGTCGTTGTGCCCGGTGTCGTCTCGGTCAACATGGGCAAGTGATGATGACAGCAACCTAGAATTGGGAAACGCCGCAATTCGTGACAATCCTTGCTTGACAAGCTCCGCGTTAAATGCAATGTATTTATCAGTCCCAGTCGTACAGTCGGAGCTCAGGAACACCAACTGCGCACCTCATGTCTTGGATCTTTGGCGAGTGAATCGCTGCTTTCAGCTGCAGCAGGCCACATGGTAGAAATAGCCCCGGCCTCGAAAAGAGGCCTCGTACTGCCAGTGAAACCCAACTGAATTGCCAACGCAGGATTTACCCTGTAGCAGCTTGCTGCAAAGTGAAGGGAGCAAATGCTGCTGTTGTTGACAGGCGTCCAGTCCCTCTGTTCAACGGCGCGTACGAAGTCAACCCACTGGCTGCATCGAGGTTCATGGCTTGGTAAGGCATGAAACGCCATGCACTTTCCGCTTTTTCCGCGCCTCGATGTGCAGGTTGTCACTACGCAGCGGTTCCCTACATTCTGGCACGCATTGTCGCTCTGAATGATCGTACTCACACGCAGTGGAGCACAATGAAAATCAATCGATGCGACACGATGAATCGCACACACGCTTCAACACAGCAAGGAGAGCCACTAGTGAAAGCATGGCTGGGAGTCTGCTCCAAAAACACTCGGAAATCGTCGACGTCGTCATTACTAGCGTATCGTCACTCAGGATGGTATTTGTGGAATGTATCACACCGAACACATAGCGCTAGTGTTGATGTTGCAGGGCAGTCTATTTTTCGTTTTTTCTTCTTAGCTTTTCTACGCTGTTTGACGTTGAAATAAAATAACTTCGACGCGACTTACGCCATTCAAATTTGGCCAAGAAGACCTATGCATACCAAGTGATTGAATGATGGGCACATCTCGATCTTGAAATTTGATGTCAGTGCTCCTTTGATGTGAAGTATGATACATTCGATTTTGGTAAGAAGCTGCTTTTGGGGTGCGCGTACAAATATAGTACCAATGTATGCTAAAGTAAGTGTTGAATCTGAGGAACCACTAGAAGATGATAGTATACCTTAAAGGATCGCGGGATCGAATCCCAGCTGCGGCGGCTGCATTTCCGACGGAGGCGGAAATGTTGTAGGCCCGCGTGCTCAGATTTGGATGCACGTTAAAGAACCCCAGGTGGTCAAAATTTCTGGAGACCTCCACTACGGCGTCTCTCATAATCATATGGTGGTTTTGGGACATTAAGCCCTACATATCAATCAAATCAATCAGTATACCATAAAGGAGGGGTCAAGACGGAGCAATGCACGCACAGCGGGCAGGCCAGTCCTCTTTGTCGTCTTCTGTCCACAGAATGGTTCACCCTTCGTGCGCTAGCTACGTGGCATTATCAGGCTGCTCTTACTTCATAAGGCAAAACCAACTAGCCCAAAGCTTCACTTTATCTGTAAAGATGGTTTTACTGCAGTGAATGATTGATAAGCCATGAAAATGCCTAATATTCAGGGAAAATATGCACTGCCACAAAGTCTCATTTCAACGTTATAAATGAACATATTACCCTCACATGGACTTATCATTTTTAAAGTTTTAAAGCTTGTTATACCGACTTATATGCTTAAAGTACAGTAAATTTTAAAACGTAACTTATATTACAGGTTGTCACTTGCACTCTACTGAAAGTCAAATCCTCCTACTATTCAAAGTTGTTTCCACTTCCTTCTAAACAAAAAAAAAAAAAGGCATTTGCACGGGCCTTGTTTCAATCTTTAAAAAAGTAATTGGCAAGTTAACCAGTTCATGAGAAATATGCCCCCCCCCCCTTTTTTTTATATGTGTTATATACTATCCCAATTCGATTCCAAATTGTTCAACCAAAATCACTATTTGCTTCAATTACGCTTCGAACATAAAATTTACTATTTGCTCAAGCCAGTTATTACATAACCATCCATGTCGAAATTTGTCCTATTGAAAATCAACCCTGATTTTCAGAGAGGAGGATGGCGGCGCCCAGGGAAAAGTTGATACATTGACATAATAGAAAGGGGGGCACTGCAACTCAGGAGGGGGGCACAAAGTCAGCCCTCCACGTACCTTTGCCACCTGACCTACGTAACCTCTGCCACCTGAAGGGAAACCCTGCGCACACTTATGGCGGTGGCCGCAGTGTGTCGTGACACGATGTTCAAATCAACCAATATCTGTGTCTATGTATTTTGGGGCATACGACCCAGTTAATTTTGAGTGGATGGCATCCTTCGTTGAGCAATCAGTGTGCGCTTCTAACTGACCTTGAAAATCAATTTCAAGTTCGATGATGCGTGTTTCACTATAATGTTAGGCTCGCGTGTTTGCAGGAACTTTCGGGTCCAATTCGCAGCACATCTTAATCGCGTTCAAAAACTGTTGCTGGGCCCCTTTGATGCATCCTTATGTATCCAGTGTATGTCTATCTGGCTAAACATTTTTATGAACCAATGCATATGGAAATGTTTGAAGTATGGGATGATGACTTCTTCACGTATTGCTTTGAGGTTGTCATGTAAATGTAAATATGAAATTCTAATTGGCTAGCGGATGTTCTTCACTGCAGCAAGGTGCTCTTATTCTCTGGTGCGCGCTACTTTGCACGCTCATTTCCTTTTTCCAGAAAGCTTTCCAGGAACAGAAAGTTACCTGTTGAATGAAGCCTTCACATCTGTTGTCAAAGAAACCTTTCGGCAGCAGGTGCTTACAAACGAACAAAGGTGACCGGGCAATTCTTTTAGCTTTTGAGTCTAGACGTCTGCATGTCATTCTGAATGCCAGAAAATAGAAGTTCATGTCTCTGTTACTAAAGTCTTCCTCTATACTCTATAGCAAGTTTTTAAACTGTAATGTGAAATTGAAGTTGTTCAAACGGCGTCTTGCTTTTTTGCACATGATGTTAGACTGGGCCATCATGTTGGAAAGTAAGTGCACTTTGTAGAATAGTATTGTGAATGAAAAGGCTTGCGACAGCAAGTTTGCATCTCTTGTGTTAGCTGTGCCATTGATTTACAGCCAGCCAAATGCAAAAGTCTAAGGGCATAAAAGTAGTATCAGGATGCATGAACATCCTCATGAATGCTCTGCTCCAAATTTAATGTGTGAAACAGAGTAGGAATGTGTAGTAGGTGTTGAGAAAAGTGTGCACCAAAATTATTATACATGTCTGAAGACGGATGCATCCATAGCGTTAAGGGTGGGTGTCAGAAGCTAAAAAAAGGATTTTCAAGATAAGTATGCATTTTCGAATTTCTGTTGTTTTGAATGGCTGGTCCACGAAAGAGCATGCAATATTTGTGTAGCAAGAAAAGAAGAAATAAACCTATTTCACTAGGCCGTGGCACGTCGTTGCTATCTAAAGCATCTTTGAAAATGCCATTTTCAAGATCTGGCTGCCCAGCGGGCAAGAAGCCTAACGTGAAATGAATGCCCGTGTTACAACGTTTGTTTATTGTGCTTTTTAGTGATAGGGGACCTTTTTGCAAAAGTACACTAGAAGACAAATGAATTAAAATGGACATTTGTAGCCATAGGAGCAGCCGACAAACAGGGATTGAAGCTCTAGATGGCAGAAACATTTTATATTTTGGGATTGCAGGGGCGTAGGTAAAAATATTTTGGGGGGGTGCGCCTGCTTTGTATAGCGTTAGAGCCGGGCGCGTCAGATGTGTTTGAATGTCATTTCGGGCTGTGTATACCATCAGTCTTATCAACTCCATAGCAAAAAAAATTTCTGGGAAAGCACGTGTCCGATGTGCCATCTCCTGTCTACGCTACTGCGTGATGAGCCACACTGCGTGATCAACCGCAATTGGTTTCACGCCAATTATGACTTAGTACTTTGTTTGCTATTCGGCTTATCTGGTATTTCTAGTGTGAGCTCATTGCAATCACTGGGTTGTCATTTTGTGACCAACACGTGTTGTGAGGAACATTCACAGCTCGAAAGCTGCAAATTGGAGATAATTTGACGCAGTTGTCAGATCCTGCTGCATTGAAATCTTTCAGTGCTGAAAAAAAAAAAAAAAAAAACTTGTAAGAAATTTCTCAGAATATGAAGTTGAGACTTAGGAAGAGCTAAATTGACTTCCATGGGTACTAATCACTCAGTGATTGTTTGGAAAAATGTCTCTTGGTTCAATAGCGCACGTCAATTGTCTCTTAACTGGCATGATCCTTGCCTTGCAGGTTCGATGGCCGCAGCTTGACAGATCTACGTGACATATCTTGCCAGATCGACTTGTTCCAGCCACTGCATGGTTCGGCCCTATTCCAACGAGGACAGACACAGGTGAGGCATTTGTCACGGTGTTTAATCAAGGGAGCAAACAATACTAATCTTGATGAAGATAATTCTAGTGTTAGCTTCGTCAAGCCTGGTGTCAGTAACGGTGTGCTCTTTGTAGTGTGATCGAAATTGTGACTGATCATCACTTTGACTGTCTTTGGGATTTCTGTGCTCTCGATTGATTGTCCCATGCAGTTTGGGTTGTGTTTAGAATAAGTGACTTTAGAACCGAATAGTGTTTTGAATACAGCGAACTCTCATTAAACAGAACCTAAAGGGACCAGGAAAATAGGCTCTGTTTAACAAATTTTCGTTTACTGAGAGTCTACTGCAAATGATTTAGAACCAGTTATAATTTGAATGGAATAGTGATGACACAGAATCAAATATGAGTATGAATAAAATGCTCTTGGAACAGCTTTTGAATAGTAAAGCAACCATTATCGAGACACCTTGGGGTTCCACAGCATTTCACTAGAAATTAATGTTCACAAACTTTAACGTGAGAACCTTAGAATTACTTTTAGCTGACAAAATATTCCCCAATTATGTAAAGTGAGGTAAGCTCGCATACAACAACAGCCCGAGATTTTGAGATATTTTGCGACTGTGGGGTGAAACATGAGTAATCGAGGTGGTATCGCCAGCTTTTAGAGAAAAACGAAACCCACGAATTAAACAGTGTTTCGTGAGCTGCTCTGAGATCGACTTTCGAAACAACTGTTGCTATTTTGCATTTTCATATTCTCGCAAATTTCATTGCAGGTTCTGTGCACCGTTGCATTTGACTCTCTCCACTCGGTGCTTCGATCGGATCCGGTTTCGGTGATCACCGGGTGAGTTGTTGTGCTGCGTTTGATTTCCCGGTTGTGCGGATCTGCAGCTGCCACCATGATTGAAAAGTGCTCAATCTTATTGACCCTGTGAGGCTCTTTGTACACATTTTGTGTGCACAACTCGTTCTTGCTAGTTGTGTTGACTAGTGGCTAACGAAGAGCGAAGTACGTTGAGATTTGGATCAAGTGAAGGTTCCGTGTAATAAAGGTGCTTGGAGTTGACTTCATTTTGCAGTGAATTTACCATTGGATATGGCCACATTTTTGAAGGCGCTACCATGTTTGAAGACTCATTCGGTGTGGCACTTTCTGCTAGCCACGTCCAAGTTATAATTTTTCGTTGCTCGAAATTAATATATATGAGAACGAAATAGCGCTACCGTAACAAAAGAATGACGAAATGTAGGTAGGTTGGATCAGAATATAGGTTGACTGTGTGACTTTGAACCACTGAAAATCAAAAGAAAAAGAAAGAAAGGTTCACGGAACAGTCATAGTACCAAAAGGACGTTCACTACGAAACAACTACGAAACAAATGCATTTTCAAATGGGGCACACTGAAAATGTCATTTATTTATGCCATGTTTACACGAGAGTTTCACGTTGCATAAAGCAAAAAAAAAGAAAGGACTCGGGTATTACCTTTTTTAAATGTCGCGACCATTTTTTAAGTTCTGATTGGATGCCCGCTGAGTTCACTGGTCGCATTCAGCACATGAGGTTAGCTCCTCTATATACTTGGCAACCTTTTTCTCCAGCTCTAGATATGCTGCTGTCTGGTTGTGAAACCAAGTTTTATTCCGATTGCTGCTTGTCGTGATGTAATCCGTATGCATTCATCAGTGGAGAATGCTTCTTTGGTGCCCTCTATCTACCCACCGACCATACACGCCACTCAAGCCAGAACTGCCAACATTGCGAGAAGCTACAAAGAAAGAGTATCTAATCAGATGGAGCAGGAAGAACACCCCTGCAAAGATAAAACTTCAGTTATAGTTTGCGACTCGCAGCTCTCGTTCGCATCTACCTGCGTGAGCATCCCAACTCATCTTCCACACACTTGACTCACGGTGTGCTAGCAGGTTTTTACATGCCTCTACAAGCTCTATCACGGTTTTCGTGAACACTACAGTCAACTGTCATTGGCCGCCAGTCAAAAGCGAGACGAAAAGCAGCTCAGAGCCATACGAGATTCACAAGACAACAAAGAAAACGCAGAATTAGGCTGCTTGTGGCACAAGGCTGGTGGTAAACAAAGCAGTGACCATAACTGGGATGGTGATGGCGATGGTCGACTTCAGCTGTCCATGGTGGCCAGACTTCAGTATTTTTTTCTGGGGATGAGCTGTGTACCTATAAGATAAGAGTGGACTTTCTATTGCTTTTTTTTTTCAAGTTCAACCCATGTTCTTGTTTATACAGTACATTTCTAGCCTGAGCTTTCCCGCTACAGGAAAAACGTAATAAAACGAAATTTTATAAACTTCATGACGTAATTAAGAAATTTTCATTTCCCAGCAGGTACCCATAGAGTTCAATGTTATCATCAACTTGAATTATTGAACTGAACAATTATTTCACTGAACTCAATTTAGCAATGTTTTTCCGGAAAAAAAATAAGAAAAAAATTCACAGTTCTTTTTTTCTATTTTTACATTGATGGCATTTCTTGTGACACGTGTTGTAATGCTATTGTGTTAATTGATATGTATAATCACCCTAGTCATGACAGTACTTTTGTTTTTACAAGGTTGCAAGTCGCAGTGAGTAGTGCTGTCACGTACGAAAGGATGCTGGGCAGTAGTGATTCATTGTCCCTGCGAAATTTCTCGCAGGAATGCGCTGGTTGCTTTCATTATTTATTTATATGACAGGCGGTACTAATCGTCTCCACGGAACTTTCTTGCTATGGCGGCTCACACATTAATAGTATTTGCTCCCTTTGTCTGAATATCAGCCGCTTTTAGTTTCACGTGAACACGTAGCTCCCATGCATTGCTCACACAAGAGAGGTATGCATGTGCAGGCTGTCCTTGTGGACTTTTCACATGTGCTGGCATCTATTGTATAGTTGCAAGTAAGACGTCGCAATAGCTTTTAGGCAGTGGTGTGTTACTGTATAAGGTTTCTTTAGACGAGATGCTAAATTTGCTGTGTTGCTTTGAGATTGTCAGTGGATCATTAGGCATAGTCTGTAGAATTGAATGCATTTTGTGACTTAAAGGTATGACTAAAACTGTGAAGTTTCTTACTTTATGACTCTTTCCTTTTCTTCCATGTTTTTCTGGAGCTAGTGGGATGAAGGAAAAGAACTTCATGCTTCATTATGAGGTATGCCGTCATTTCTTTTTTCATGTAGTAGCAAGCATTGTTTAGAGGTTTGGAGTTTGTGCGCTGAGCAAATTCTTTTTCCTGCTAGTTCAGTGATACTCTTCGCTAATCAGTCATCCCTTTCAAATGGGAAACTGGAATAACTCAAAAGCCGAGTTCATTGCGTTTGTAGTGTTGGCCATGATGTGTCTTGTAATGTGACATTTGTGACACTGCATTCATGGCAGGTAATCAAGTCGGTCCACCTCGGTGGGTGGTACTGTTGCGGTGCCAAAAAAAAAAAAAAAAGGTATTGGGATCGACTTTAAGTGGCTGCATTTTTATAAAGATGTACTATGTTTTTTTTTGGTGCTTGGTAGACAACTGCACATCAAAATTGTTATTTGCTCTTCTCTTTTGGTGTTTATGTTGCTTTGGTAACAAAATTGAAAGACTCCAATTAGTAGTTGTCAAAAAATGACAGTTGTATGAACATTCGAAAGCAATGTCCCAGCTTGACATTGACTGAATCGCGAATAGCCAACTTACCATAACTTTTGCACAAGTCATTTTAGGACATTCACTGTTGTATTTGCATTCAGTTCTCATTTCAGCTTATCGTGACATGCCAATTTACTTTGTAACTCGCCCTAATTAAGGAGACACAGTCTGCTCTTATTAAGGTGCACGAAATCTTTGATGAAATATTAAAATTGAATAATGTGCCAGAAAAGTAAGTTTTTATTTAAAATAACACATCAAATACATGAGCTATGAAGACTTCATGAAAAATCTGCTAAAAAAAAAAAAAAGGTTTTGAAACATGATCCTCCTTTAAAAACAGAAAGCGTGGATCGTGCTCTCACCAAAACTTACTGAGTTCTCTGTTTGCAGTATGTTTACTATGCATATGCATAACAACTTTGTATAAATATAGATTCAGGTAGAGTGTTTCATTGTATACAATGCTCAGTGGGGATGCTACTATAGCCAAGATTGCCTGGAACTAGCTCTCCACATGTACTGTATAGCATCCAGTGTTAACGTGGAGAACTCGTGTTTATGTTTACGTGCACCGCAACTTCTCATTCTATGTATATGCGAGCTTCTCATTAGTATGTGTGGTTATACTGAAAGTACGCCTCTACATATTTGAACTTGAACTTTACTGCAAAGGGTGAAAAGCTTGCAGTTGGACTTTCTTAGACAGTGCTACCATATGCAGAACCTTAACACTTCTCAGAGGCAGTTCTGAAGCTGTGTTGTGTCTCGAGATAATTGACGGAAACAGTATGTCAATGCTTTGTTGGGCACTTTTAGATGTGAAGCAGCTCTTTGACTAGCCTGTGTACTGCTGTCCGTCCGTGTCTCCATGCCAATGTGCCCCACCGAGTTCTCCCCGCCGTCAGGAAGGTCAAGTCGCAGCTGGGCGTTGACGTCACTCTCTCCCTCACCTGCAGCATCTGTTAGCTCCTCCCAACATACCTAGGTGGTGTTCCTCCTCCACCCGCTTGCAACACACTTCTCTGTCGCTTCACCCTCTCCACTACCCGCAACACTTGACCGCACGTCCAGTGGAAGCACTCTTCCGGCTTGTTTATCTGCGATGAAACTTGCGCGAAACCCAACCTACCTCCTGTGTCGCGTTTGAAAGAAATATTTACTCAAGTAAAGGCTACACTGAGCTTCGCTTCAAACCGTTCTTCCAGCACCCGCATCGACGTCCATTTTAGCCGGGTTAGTGGTGTGCGCACCACTGTTGCTTTGCATCTAATCGTGGTTCTCTTCAGGGAAATGGTTCATAATTTTTTTCTAATGGGAACTTCCGAATGCAATGGCTGTTTTGCATGAGAAAGCAATACAGTGCCCCATCCTGTGTTGTAATGATTTGCTGTGCTCTCTGACAGTTCCCATCGTACGCGACCAACGAGATCGGACGCACCGGGCCCATTGGGAGGAGAGAGCTCGGCCACGGAGCGCTCGCCGAAAACGCTCTTCGACCGCTCGTTCCGAAAGACTTCCCATTCACAATCAGGCTGACCTCGGAGGTGCTCGAATCGAATGGTCAGTGTTTGTCTTTCCCTTTTAAGCACTCTTCTAAAAATGAAGTTACCAAAGAAACTAACGCTTGCAGAAACACTGAAACCAGGATATAATAAACCCGGATATAACGAATTATTGGCTATAATGAAGTAAACGAAAAATAGCTCTGTCACTGATACAGTGCTGGAAACGTCTTTACAACAAATTTTCAGATGTAACGAAATATTTTCGTGGCTGGCAGGTGTGACTTGGTGATAATGAGGTATGGAGTGTACATTCTAACAAAGTATGTGACTGATTATGGTATTTATGGCTTCAGGTCTTTGCATTCGGCAGTGTATTAAAAGCTGCTATGTTTCCAGGACGTCCTCACAAGTATTCGTGTTTTATGTTAGAAGAAAGGGAAACAAGATTTGTTTCATAATATTGCATAACAATATTCTCTATCCCGAGCCGTCACTGGCAAGCTTGAACTGAGCTCAAACCTGTTAGACTGGCTACTGTGAAAAAACTTGTGACTGCTTGGAGCGCCTTGTTCCTATTGTGGTCTTATTGCAAAGCAACCTTAAGCGACCTTGCGAAAATTTTAAGATGAAATATGATGCATGCCTCAGTAAAAGTTAGCAAAAAAATATTGCCACCCGCATCTTCCCGCGGGAGAACTTGAGTAAATGCGTCTGATAGTGGTGAGGTATCGTGTGAATTTTTCAAAATTCGGTATGGTTTGCGAATGCATGATTGTTATTTCGTCTTTATCATTCTTGTTTATTGAATGAAGGAGAAGCGTTGCCTTCAACGTCAAGCGAAAGCCTAGTAAGGACGCCCTTGGCTGAATTCTGAACGCGCATTCCTTTGCCTACGTATATAGTGTGGCCAGCGAACTGTTGTATAGCGGGAGCAGTGGTTTTTTTTACTAGCAGACACTGCCTGCGAGGCGGCCTTGCGAGGCGAGAGAGGGGGAGGGGAGCGATAATTTTGCGGGCGTCTTATCTGGGCCGGCATGAGACCCAAACATGCGGGTCTCGGCACGCGACGCGAGTATGCGCGACATCGTGTGACTAAGAAACGCTCCGCATTTAACAGTCTTTCATGGCGTGAAAGTCTACACGAAATGTTGCCGCAACTGTTTGTCGAAAGTGCTGTTGCAGACCCGAGCATGTTGGTAACCGGAGCCTGCTTTTAGTGGGCCCGGCTATATTGAACCCAGCTACTCTGAGCATAACTACTGTTAACCCGCTTTCTCATCTCGTCATTAAACTGTAGTATCAGGCTGCCGCAGGGGTACAAGGGTTATGGTGCTCGGCTGCTGACCTGATGGTCGTGGGTTCAATTCCAGCCACGGGTGTCACATTTTCAACGAAGGCAACAATGCTAGAGGCCTGTATGCTTAAATTTAGGAACACGTTAATTTTTAACCTTCAGGTGGCTGAAATTTCTAGAGCCCTCCACCATGCATGCATGCCTTACAATTATATTCTGGATTTGGCTCGTAGAACCGCAGCAGCTATTATTAATATTATGAACTGTAGGGTCGTCGTCCATGGCGAGCGTTTGCGGTGGGAGCCTTGCCCTGATGGACGCCGGAGTGCCCATCTCGGCAGCCGCGGCCGGCGTTGCCATCGGCCTTGTCACTGTACCCGACCCGGAGTGCTCTTACGAGCTTGCTGACTACCGGCTACTCACGGACATCTTGGTGAGGAGTTCGCTTTGTGCACTCTTATTGTGGCACAAGCCTGGTTTTGGTGTGTGCTTGAGGGTTGATGGCAAAGCTTGCAATGTCGAATGAAATCTTGAGTGGTAACATAACTTGGAAGCATGAGCTGTTTGATGTGGATGAGATAGAGAGATAGAAACTTGGGAAACCACCTCGTGTAACTCTGTGTGGCAAGCAGTAAAGCTACGCATTTACTGGCATGATCCTCGCACTTTTTTTTTGAAAACCGATGCAAAGTTAGGGGGTGCGAGAATTACGCGGAAAAAACTTTCTACGAAATCGTACAGAGTGAAAAGAAAAACAAAGTGGCCGCGAATAGGGATTCTCACACCAGCAACTAACAGCAAGCTTTGAGAAGTACTAATTAAAATTTACCTCAACAATAAAAGCACAGGTTAAACACAAGGCAAGATTTATTTGAGACAAAACGGTGCAAGCAAATAGTCGAGAATTAGAATACCATACGCAGAGCTTGTGGGCGTTGCGTGCGTAGCGGTAGCATTCGTCACTTAACAGGAGCCCTCAAAAGGTAAGCGTAAGACGTCAGTATTGGGCTGATGGCTATTTAACAGAATCGTCCGCAGTTTCCTTCTGAAGAAATAAAGTTTACCATCAATATCAGTCTTAGGCACATGGCAGGCCCAACGCGTCTTGGTGGCTTTCATCTGCCGTCACCAGTAGCGAACACAAAACTCGTCGACTCCGCAGGGCCTACCGGCGGCCCTGTTGCCGTTGTTTAGTGCATGATCAATCACTTGCAACTTGAAATCAGCGTGTAGCTTCAGTATCGCCCCATAACGAGACAAGATTATCGATGCAAGATACAAAACACGCCGCGACGCGCACTTGCTGCTTTGACTTGGCTTGGCTTGGATTGAATTTCTGTGCAATAATAGTATGCTTGATGATTAAGAGATGACGCCAGATGGCGCGCGCCATCATCAACGGCTGGAACGAGCAGATAATATTATTGCGGCAATTTTCGGGCTTGGGATAATTACTCGAGAAAAAAAAAATCTTATTTTTGTTGGGCGATTGGGGGGTTGCGATAATTATGGGAGTGCGAGGATTACGCGAGTAAATACGGTAGACTAGTGTGAGTATCCCTTATTTGGTTCTACGCTAAGTAAAAAAAAATGGTCATTAGTATCAAACTATTTTGACGTGAATTTGAATGGTAAAAGGATTTAAATAGCAGTAAAATATGGTATCTTTTAAAATTAGTCATGCTTAGCCCATCAAAGCCCATTTAACATGCTTTTAGACCTTTAAAAATGTTCGATTTGTGGGCAGGTGACCTGCGCACTTGTTTCATTTCATGGCAGTGTGGATTACCCCTGAATAGGCGGTTTTGAGGCATAACGGCCCCAAGCTGCAGTGAAACCACCTTTTCAGGCAGGATACTTGCTGTAAATTGTGTCCATTTGTCTCAAATACCAAAGAATCTCATAGAACACAACCTGAAGGTGCTGGGAAAATACATTCTGTTTAATAGACACCTGCAGGGGTGCACAATTCAATTACGAAACCAATCATATTAGAAGTAGTTTACAAGAGTGGGAGCTTGGGCTAGTTGGTATGTATTGATGTTTGAACACTGATAAAGCTTGCCACTTAGTGGTAGTTGCTCCAATTTAACTGCCATTTTTTTAGGTGATCTTCATTTAATGATAGTTTTCTGTACATTGAATGCTTGGAAATTTTAAATTCCTGCTGAAGAGAATTCGATTACTTTAATATTTGTTTCAATACTTAAGGGGCTGAAATGTTTTCACAGGCTCAAATTGAGCTTACGAACCTGCCAGCCGGAACACTGTGGCTAATGTGAAGTTATCATTTTCTTGGTTGGCATTTGGGATGTGTGCTCGCTGTTCGTTTTAGGGCATTGAGGACTATCTTGGTGACATGGACTTCAAGATGGCTGGTACGAAGAAAGGCATCACCGCACTACAGGTAGGCCGACAAACACTTTTTTTAAGTCTGTTTGCGCTATAGTAGCTGGTGGGTGGCGTGATTGATTCGTCACGTTTGTCTGCCGCGGCGTGCACATTGAAAGTCTTCTGTTTGGTGACACTGATATCCTGTTTCCTGTTGCGAAAAACTTCTCGATGCTGACTGTGCGAAAGTGCGCCGCGGTTTTGTGTGCTGCTGGCATAGTTGAGCGTTGCTCACGCCAGGGGGTGATTGTTACATCATACAACTTGTCGTTTTCGAAGCTCTCTCAAACTGAAACTTAGACTGGTCGGTAATGAGGTGCCTGTAATTAAGTGTTTATTGTGTGCTGCAGCAGACAATGTGCCCTGTTACGACTAACAGGCCCGCAGCAACACATTGCAGCAAGAAAACAAAACGCAAGGTCAGAATTTTTGTGTCAGTGCTCTTTTAAGCCCTTTCTTTTTTTATTTTGTTTTGGACAACACACAGGCCGACATTAAGATCCCTGGTCTTCCTCTCAAGGTGATCATGGAGGCAATTCAGCAGGCTACAGGTGAGCTTATTTTCATTTGCCCAACATTTGATTGTACGAGATCAGCTGGCCGTTTGGAATTTATGAACGCATTGCTGCCTGCGTTGTGACGGTGTTGCTGTCGCAATAAATGCAGAAAATTGGGCCAGTTTTCCCCCATTATCATGCAGGAAAGTCCAGCAAAGTTAGGCCTGTTCATTTTTTTGAAATGTTTCAATAAAATTTGAGAAGGTGATACATTTTCAAATAAGTTTGGCATATTAATTCAAAGTATCTCAGCATAATTCAAAGTATCTTAGCAAGCTCACCTTTGCTGGGTGTACTAGTTACAATAGTTAGTCAAAGGAGGAGTGAGTACTATGACGAATTTATCAGTCCCCAATTTTTCAATTAATTGTGCTATAAAGTTGCTGATATGTGTAAATTTATGTGCTCATTTATTCACAAATAGAAGATTAATACAGAATGAAATGTGTAATTTGGTTCGAATCTCATATCTCATCTATGTTTTCTTGAAATCTTGTTCGAAAAAGGTATGCAGAGAATATGTTTTTGAGATTTGCCGAACTTTGAACCTATAGCTTCTGCACAATTCAAGAATGGCAAGACCAATGTCATTGCTGTGTTGAACCTAAAGAATAGCTTGACTCATAAGTTGACACCGCGAAGAGCAATCCTTCAGTTAAGGCTCATCTTTTAAAATGCACAACACGACGTCCCCAAAGCTGTATTCGCACGACAGGCGAATCGCAGATTGCGTGCCACTGCATCACCGCATGTTAGTCGTTTCCTAGTTCTCACTTACATCCGCGTGGAGTGAATAGTGTAATGACGGAGGCTCAAAGCACAGTAGGGATGCTCGGAGAGCAGCGCCGAGATCCTCACTTGTGGCGTGAATTCTCCCCTGTCGTGTGACTGCTGGCTGCGCATGGATCTGAATCACGTCGCACGTTACGTGACTGATTCGTCTGCGATCACGTCCATCGTGTAAATACGGCTTTAGTTGTCAAACGAGCGAGAAGAAAAATGGGGTTTAAATAAAGACATAATCCTTCCTTAAATCTTCAGAGGGAAAGTCGGAGATCCTCAAGATAATGAACGACGTGATCAGCAAGCCGAGGACACAAAAAAAAGACAATTGGCCCGTGTCCGGTGAGTCATTTCACAAGATCGCATTTTGAAAGTTTTCAACATTCTTCTTCGTTTTCTTTGCATGCGGGGTGAACTTAAATTGGTCTGTCCATTCACTCTAGTTTTAGCAATCCGGTGGTGGCTTTTATTTACGCTCTGTACTGGCATAGAAGGGGTGCAAATGGGTTGGAGGTTTGTTGTGGACACTTTCAAATGGAGGAAAAGTGCAGAACAAAGCTTTTTTACAATACTCGATTGAAAGATGCGTTGTTGAAATAGCGTTTAGTGGGTCCATGTCACATTCTTATTCTTGTGTTTTCAATTGAACACGTCAACGGAATCTACAGAAACAGTGACGAGGGCCTTAATACTCATTTGATAGAGTAAAATCTCAGTGATACGAGTTTCACGAAGTCACATTAAGGGGGGACACAGGTCTTAGAAGGCCAAAAATCGCGAAAAAATCGACTCTTTGAAGCTGAAATTTTCGGAATCTGCGTTTACTTTTGCACTTATCTGAGAAGTTTCTAGCTTCTCGCATCATTATTTCTTGTGCAAAATCAATTTATAACATCCTTGTGAGATGAATGTGAGCGCAAATTGACACTAAAATCACGCTTTTCCGCGCCAAACTGTTGCCGTTACACACGAGCTATCGTGTTCATCTTGGTCTCGTTTGGAAGAATCGTCCTTCATCTTCAATTTCTCGCCACTGCTGGCTCACCTTGGTCATTTGTTTTTTAGCGAAAACGCGTCATCGAGAAGCACTAGCGCGCGCGATTCAATTGGCTGCTTGGGGCACGTGACCAAACCTAGGCATCCGATTGGCCAAGGGGCACTTTCGGCGTCTGCTTCCCCATCGTGACGCGCACGGACATGCGCCATTTTGTCATGGTGCTACTGACTGCTTGCGGCAGTAAAGAAGTTCCGTGCTACAGTAATTTGTGAAGCGGGTGTGGCGGTCGTTCGTTCACTGTGAACTTCAGAAAGATCCCCGCTATGGCTCAGGACAACGAGGATAACGAATTCGACGCGGTCAACGGCGGTCGCCAAGTCACCGGTGTAGGCCTAACTCACGTACGAGCCTATTGGTTGCTGACAACGTTACTGAGAATGGCTGTGTTTTGCAGCCTCATCAGTTAGAGGACGGCAAGTAAAAAGCAGAAGTGAAGCTACAAAAGATATCAATCTTTGTAGTGACGGAACGGAAGCGCAGTCTTATCGCTAAACCCGTCGATGTCATGGTTCCCCCGCCTGACGAAAGGACCTTGAACTGCGCGATGGGTCGTCAGAGTGGAGTACGTTGCGCATCGACCAACAACAGAAAGTCAATCCGTTCGCAGTGAACATGCTCGCAACCCCTGCAATGGAGGCTACTGGCAACAGGTAGACTGCTTTTAAAGACGTGTTCGCGACGTTGTCGCGATCTCCGCTCTTACGTGAAAAGTCTTACGTGAAAAGGAAACTAACACCTCGGCACTCGTGTAGCCTCGAAATTGATGAGCGAGGGAGCAACGTTGATTCGCGACACTTACGGGTAACTTATTCTGGACAAGCCGGAAAACATCGCCGCGTTATTCAACGGATTGTGGATGACGCACGCACATTTGTCGCACATCGCCGTCAGTGCAGTCACCAACTGGTAAGCGGCCTCGTGGCAGACGAGCACACGGCGACAACTTGCTACAGGACTAGAAGAAACGACACGCTCGTACAAACAATCAGTCCTAATACATTCCCGGTGTATATTAACTGACTAAAAGTATGTGTGCCATGATATTTTTCCCTCGGAACGGCGAAATTGAATTTTAACAGCATTATTCTCGAAGCACAGATTTTGACCACTTTCTTTTGCTTGTTCGGTAAAAGTGGACCTAGGACAGCTAGAGCTGGAATTGTTTTTACACAATGTAGCTAAATGTGCACACAAAACAATGCTGGGAGCCTATTTTTAATGAGCAGCTTCATTTTTTTTATAATAATATAAAATTTCTGTATTTGGTTACATGCAATGAACTTTACTGTGCTGTAATTCAACCGTGTGCTCAGATTTGGGTGCACGTTAAAGAACCCCAGGTGGTCGAAATTTCCGGAGCCCTCCACTACGGCGTCTCTCATAATCATATGGTGGTTTTGGGACGTTAAACCCCACATAGCTGTGCTGTAATTCAACAAGTACTCGTTCAATTTTCGATCAACTTGCAGCACTACACTCCTTAGGCTTTCTAGCATTCATTTATATGTCAATGGCTATGTAATTTTAAGTGCATACATTTTTACAGTTAAAATTCTAGAATTCTTTGTTTTCTTCATTTTCTCAAAATGGCAATTTTGTACACCCTGCATGAAAATTACTGCAATATATCTGAAACTATTACAGATAGCAGAATATTTTATTTTGCAGCGTGAAGCTATATGTTTGGAGCACACAACATAGAAAGCAGATTTTGATTCCTCTTGATGCAAGGTTTTTAATCTAGTGTTTTGTGTGACCACACATTGGCCACATTCAGGGCTGTGAAGTTCAGTGTACTGTGAAGTAAGAAATAATGACCCGTTCAAAAAAGTGCTTCTTATGTTGCATGTCTTATGCTTTCTACTGTCAAACCCTCCTGTTATTTATAAATTTTTTACAGGTGGCTATTTTCTATTATGGTAAAAACAATAGAAATTGGTATCTTGATTATTTAATGACCTAATGAAGCTACAGAAAAAATAACTACATTTTTAGAGTCCAAAGAATAAACTTAGTAAGCATGCCAACTTTTATCACATTTGGTTCAAAAATAAATGAGAGAGCCCTAAGACCCATGTCCCCCCTTAAATATTGACATCAGCCAAAGTTTGTATTATAGAAAGAAACAGAAAATGAGGAATATATAATTTAGTCTATTTCAGAAGATGCTTAAAATATTGCTCAAAAGCGCTTGCACACACAAACAAGCAAGGCACAATGGGATGAGCGCCAACTCTAATTTTATGTAACATTAACCTGCACCTGGTCATGTATTTGCTTGTTGCTGGCACAATCATGTGACTTAACGAAATTCAATTTTATAGATTTTCTCAAGATGGGCTTTCAATTCTCTGGACTTACAGATCATGTTGCACTGAAATCTTCACATCAGGCAAATTAACCTAATGTATTCTCTAGTTCTGTAAAAATTACGGAAGTCAAAATATGTGTTTATATTGGGTAAAGATTTGTGGGATGATATCATCTGCATAGGCGTGTCATTTCTTATACTGAATTTTTTCATCTAGGTGAATAATTCTCGGGACTTCTCAAGTGAAACTGAGGTTGAAGTACTATGGTAAAACCTCTTTAATTCGAACTCGGATATTTCAACATCCCGCTTAATTCAAAATATTTTCGTGGTCCTGTATTTTGACGTGCAAGTCTGAGCGGATCATTTGAAGCGGTGGCCAGCACCAGTACGGTTAATTTGAAAACTTTGGGTGCCATGTGCTAGTTCCTGATTTCGCCACAAATCCGCAGAAACGACGTCCCTTAAGAGCCACAAGGCAATGCAATGTAGTGATACTAATAATCGGCAGCTGAGGCGATCTAGCCTCGCTACTTCCAGCGCAAAAAAAAAAGCTTGTCTCGTGGTCAACTAAATTGTGTGCCTGCGGAAAACACAATGTGCTCGATTGCAATAAGTGATGATGCGTGGGCAGCACATTGCATGTCTCTCGCAACATCAGCGCGTCATGATTTACGTATTCTTTTTGAGATTGTAGAGAAATTAATAAAAGACAATTTGGCATAATTGGTGATGTGTGTGAACCTCCAGTTTCCGGTTGCTCCAGCAACTTGTGCACTTAATTGATCTGCTGGCGGAGTTCTTGCCAGCAACGCCTGCTTCGAAAACGAAGTTCGAAAGCTTCTATGATCATGCTTTCCAGCCAAAATACATCGCGAATTTCGTCATACTGGCCATTATTGACTTCTTTATTTTATCAGAAAGAATGGGCAAATGGTCGCATGATGACGCTGCGAGATGCTGGCGACATGCTGCCGGCGTGTCACTACTGTGTTGCAGCGAAGATGCATTGTCTTTCGCAGGTGCGCATTTCAATTGATCAGAACAGCGTCCTCTTTTTTTTTCCGGTGGCAGCCTAGAGGCCCGCCGTTCTCCTGTGTTTGGGACGAAGTTTAAACCTGGTATTGCTGTAAAATATAACACTTGGAGTCGCAAACTAATTTGCAGAGCAAACAACCAGCCCTGATTAGTTAGAATAATTCCAAGTTCCTTGCATCCAACTTGTACGATCTGTTAATTCGAAAACCCAGTTAATTCAAAGATTTTTCGTGGCCCCAGGGACTTTGAATTAAGGAGGTTTTACTGTAGTTACTTGACTTTGATTTTTGAAGATACATACATGTTAGCTTTCCTGATTAGCTGAAGAAAGTGCATAATTTTTACCACTATTCCTGTATGCACACAAGGCTTTGTCAAACTTTTTAATGTCCATCTGTCTTTTATTCTTGCTCAAATCAGTGATCACTTTCTGGAGGTTTGTAGAAATACATTGTAGGGAGACCCGCTAGTAGCTTTCGTAATACGGTACATCGCGCGTCTGTGGTTGACGTTACATTGAACAACAATGTCGTGAAGTCACTGTTTCCGGGATTTGGTGGTAGGTCTACCCGGTGTGTCGATACAGTAGACTCCCATTAATTCCAGCTTCAACAGAATTCCAATGCATGCTTAAATATCGAATTTTCCACCGTGAAGCCTGGACAAGTTTATCAAAGTGATGTAGCCAACTGTTCATTGAGCAAAATTATTTTGTATCTGAAGTATAGAGAGTCGAGGAGTGAGCGTATTGTTTGAATAAAGACGCGTGCCTTTATATGGGTGCTATTTTGTGGCATTCTTATGTGCATTGGATCGAATGAAGCTGACTTCTGGGGTTCGCTTGGAGTATCGACTTTTCCGCCGTGAAGCCTGAACGAGATTATCAGAGTAATGTAGGTATGTTTTATTGACTTGCCAAAAAACCAATGTGCTCTCTTTCTCTCGTTTTCAGAGAGGTTGGAAGTTCCAGTTCACCAGCGGGCACGCCTAGTTGGTTTCGGAGGCCACAACCTGAAGAAGCTGACTGCTGAAACAGGTGAGACAGTATTGTTTTTTATTACCGTGTTAATGTACTTTTACACTTTGGCACATATAACCTGTTGCTGTATTAACCTGTGTCTGATGATGTGTTTTCCTGTTGCCTGAGCATTCAAAGTTTGACAAAACGAAACTCAGTTTAGGTAACTTTTTTTTTTTAATATTTAGAAGTCTGCTTTCAATCCACTCGTCTGGAATTCGTAGGTGATGATTATGCATTGAAAACCTACATTAAGCATTGTGAACCAGATACTTTGCTTGCAGTAAACTCTCAGTAAATGTAATCTTTTAAACAGAACTACTGCTTAGATGGTACACCAGCTACTACTACTGTCGCCGACCATTTATCCGACCCAGCAGGTACCACCAAAATGACCAAATATAATTGAGACTCCGAAAAAAAAATTTCACCATGAGAAACAATAGAACTTTTATTGACCTGGTGGGCGGAAAAACTTGTCGATGCACGTCTGCACACAAGCATTACCACAGATGACTCAAGTCAACCTGTACTTCAGCCAGGGTTTGGTCATCATTGTAGGTTTACAGTAGCGTCGTTATGGCGTGTGCTAAAGCTGCATTTGATAACAGTGGTGAGGGCAGCAATACATCAGAGTGACTGTCCACCTGCGCTGGCTCAGGGACCTGACAGATTACTACCTCGTCGTCTTGAACAACCAACGTAGCAAAAACTCGCAAGCAATGTTGGATTATGGTTGGCCACCTTCGACCTGGCCAATAAATTGCGACTTTTTTCGCCATTGTCATTGTCCTGTGGCTGCTGCACTTTTTCATTAGTACCGATGATACAGATAAAATGGGTGGCATTGGAGCCATTTCAGCAGATCAGGCTTCGCACATCAAGCAACAAACAAGATAGCGAGATGCAGATCAGGCTTAGCCGGAGGGATGACTGATAACACAAACTGTCAGATGCTCAGAGAAAGAAGACATAAGGCTAGTTTATGCTCAAGGGCTCATGATTTAGTTCTTTCGTTGTCGGTTTCGTATGCAGTTATTCTCAAATGCCACAGTGAGCTAAATCCAAGCGCAGTTTGGCATGGCTTGTAGCTTGCTAACGGAATTCATTCATCGGATACTCGGTCGGCTATAGATGAAAGGCAGTCATTACGCGTAACAGAAAAAAACATAGCCTACAAGGTCAGCGATAGTAACTTCTGTGTTTATTTTTACACTGGTACGATTTCCAGCCATAGTCAGTGACACTGTGAAACCTTTCAGACCTGGCAATCCGGCGAAAATGTTGTAAACACTGTGCAGACAGCTCACCACGGCAATCGACATCGCACCCTATGAGCCAGCCGGAGCCCTAAAAATTGAACATCGCACTATGGGGCATCCGAGTTCTCGGTCATGAATTTGTATTACTTGAAAGAGATGAGTGGTGGTGCTGCGAAGGTGTCGAAATATACGAGGATGTCCGAATTTCTTGCATCGAATGAATGGTATGCGACGCTATTATATTTGTTGCATGCCTGATTATTCATCCCTCTGTAAATTGAACTTTTGTTAAAAGGAATGCATTTTCTTTCACCGTACAGGTTCTCTTTATTCACATTATTCTTTAGTTCCATTAATATTGTTGCGAGTGACTGTGTTTATTTACAGATGAGGTGAAAAGGCGTTGTGAAATAGCAGCGTACTTCTGAGACAGGCCAAGAACGCTTCCACCCAACCACACAGTCCAGGCGCCGCTCCACTACTCTTCTTCTTCTTCCGCGCCCCGTAGGCTCGCGCATCTTCGTTTCATTTCCCCCGGCGGCAGACGAAGCTCGCCGAGCGAGTTACCGTAATTACTCGAATCTAACGCGCACCTTTTTTCCGGTTAAGCGAGTTCATAAATCGCATGCGCGTTAGAATCGAGTACGAACAAAAAAATTACGGTCAATCTATTGCCATCGGCAAATCCAAAATGGCCGCCCCCTACGTGCGTCGGCCATTTCTGCCTATGTGTTTTTCATGTGCGGCACTTCGTACGTGTGCTGAGGAGTTCGTCATCTAGTAGTGCATTTGAATCGACGGCGTGGATGGGCCGACTCCCAAAACTCGAGTGCACCACGATGCCGCTTTTAAAAGAAAAGTCATCGCGTGAGCAGAAACGGACGGAAATCGGGCCGCATCGCGGTCATTCGGAGTTCCCGAAACGTGCGTGCGGGACCGGCGGAAACAAAAGCAGAAGATTGTCGACAGCAAAACTTCACGCAAAGGCTTCTGTGGACCACACCAGGGTCGGTTTCCGCAAATTAAAGAGCTGCTCGGCGAGTATGTGCTTGAGCAGCGAGTCGCACAGCGGCCCGTGACGACAGAACTGCTCCAAGTGTAGGCTATCCAATTAGTCTTAGAAAAAGGTCTAATGCGGAGCCAGTTTTAAAGCGAGCAGGTGCTGGCTAACTAACTTTATGAAGAGGAAAGGCTTTTTCCTCCGAAGGGGAACATGCATATGCGAAAAGTTTTGCGGAGGAGTACGATGAAAAGCTTCACAGTTTTCAGAGGTTCGTCCTAAACTTGCGGCGCAACAACGGCTACCTGCTTGGGCAAATCGGGAATGCCGATCAGACGCCTCTTTACTTCGACATGCCTGGCACCACAACCGTCGAGAAGAAGGGGGCGAAGCAAGTTCGCGTGCTGACATCGGTTTACGGTAAAACTACAGTGACGGCAATGGTCTGTTACACGTCAGATGGGCACAAGCTTCGCCCGTACCTCATATTTAAATGGAAGACGCTCCCGAAAGGAGTCGTTTTTTCGAGTGGTGTGATCGTGCGGGCCAGCGAGAGAAATGGGTGCGCGTTGCAATTGATGTCTTACGTTTTTTTTTTTTTTTTTCGCGGTGGAAATCGGGTGCGCGTTACAATCGAGGGCGCGGTAGAATCGAGTAAATACGGTAAATAGGCCTATGATGGTACTGTTTGAGGCGGGCTACGTGAACAACTTGCGTAGTGCGCGAACGCCGGTTATTGGCTGTGACTCGGGCGACAACGTAATTCACGTCACTGAGACGAGTGACTATCACGAATGGGCCGGAATAGTTTGCTAGAAACTTCCGGTACAATCCTTTTCTACGAACAGGAGTCCACAGCCACACGTAGTCACCAGGAGAAAACTCTACGGGGATATGCTTGGCATCGTAGCGACTCTTGCTGCGTTCTTGCGAAGACAATGTTCGAAGGCGCGCTAGTTGACGTGCTTCTTCAGCGCGACACAACGTCTGAGCGATGGACAGATCTTCCTGATGCGAGAAAGGTAATAGAGTGTCCAGAAAACTCTGTGGATTTCGTGCGTAAAGCAGAAAGAAGGGTGAATGTCCAGTAACTTCATGCTTGGCGGTGTTATACGCGTAAGTAACAAACGGTAAGACGGCGTCCCAGTTCCTGTGGTCAGCATCAACGTACATCGATAACATATTCGTGAGAGTTCGATTTGTTCTCTCAGTGAGACCGTAGTTTGCGGATGGTAAGGGGTGGAGTGGCGATAAGAGGAGCCACAGAGGCGCAAAATTTCTTCAACCACATCGGCCATAAATTGTCGTCCACGGTCACTGATGACAACCCGTGGAGCACCGTGACGCAGTATGACCCGTTGTAACAGAAATGAAGAAACAGCGGCTGCTGTGGCCGATGTCAGTGCGTCCGTTTCCGTATAACGCGTTAAATAATCCACGCACACTATAACATATCGGTGGCCCGATGGAGTCTTAAGAAGGGGTCCGAGCAAGTCAATGCCGACTTTTTCAAAAGGGGATGTCGGTGGAGGGATGGGCTGCAAATAACCCGCCGGGGCAGTGGTGGATGGCTTGTGGCGCTGACATATAGCGCAGCTGGTGACGTACTGTTTTGTGGTCTTCCACATTTTTGGCCAGTAGAACCTCTCGCGTAGTCGATGCAGCGTACGTGTGAAACCGAGATGACCGGATGTTATGTCATCGTGCGCAGAACGAAGGACGACCTGGCGCAGGCTTTCCGGCACCACTAGAAGCAACGGGAGGCCATCGGCTGAATAGTTTCTTTTATACAGCAAGCCATTTGAAATTTTAAAGTGCTTGTCGACGGAGTTATGTGCAGCTTCGAGCAAAGGTTTCAGAGTAGGGTCGCGCTGCTGCTCACGTTTGAAGCTGCTGGTATCTGGGAAGTCGGACGAGACAGAAACTAAATAGTCATCAATGTCATTGTCGTCAGCATTGGTGTGTACTGAAGGAAGGCGGGATAAGCAGTCGGCATCAGTGTGACATCGTCCGCTCTTATAGGTAACAGAAAAGCTGTACTCTTGGAGGCGCAACGCCCAACGAGCCAGCCGGCCAGACGGGTCACGAAGTCCCACAAGCCAGCATAGTGAGTGGTGATCGGTCACTATTGTGAACTCGCGGCCATGTAGATACGGTCGGAACTTCTGAATGGCGAAGACGACTGCTAAGCACTCGAGCTCGGTGACGGTGTAGTTCGTCTCTGCTCTGGTCAGTGTCCGACTGGCATATGCTACGACGTGCTGGCGACTGTTGCAGTACCTAGCAATGTGTCCAGGTAGCCCGCAGTTGTAGCAAGTACGGGTGTCGCGTCTAGTCGTCCCCGGCGGAGTAAACCTCGTCGGTTGATAAAAGCCGGGCGATGGTGGTCGAGGAGTGAATCGCTGTGACGCAGCTTGCCTGCGTTCCTGGTTTCCGAGTGGTCGTTCACTCCTCCGTTCGAACCGATCGGTGTAATTCGGGCGAGGCTCAAAGTAGCTCTGTCGCATCCGAGGTACCAGTGGTTCACGGGGCCGTTGGTCGAATGAACACTGATGGCAGACACCAGCGGTGTCCACAGCTTGCAGTTGAGCAAGTTCTTCCTTAACCACTCGTCTTATAAGAGAAGAGATCTCGTCCTGCGATGGAAGGTTGACACTTGCAATCGTGGGCACGTTGTCAAGACGTCCAAATTTTGGTAGGACTCTCCTCCTCTTTAGGGTTTCAAACGCTCGGCAGTGTCTCCTTAGGTCGGAAGGTGTGTGTAAGTCTTCCTTAGTGATAAGGAAATTGTACACATCTTCCGCGATTCCCTTGAGGAGATGACCTACCTTATCTTCGTCACACATGGTCGCACTCACGATTCCGCAAAGCTTCAAGACGGCCTCGATGTAGGTGGTGCATGTTTCGCCAGGTAACTGAGCTCTGCGTGAAAGCGTTTGCTCCGCCTGCTTGACCTTAGCTGTTGAGTCACCAAAACACCTCTTCAGCTCGTCCACGAAAATGTCCCATGTGGTCAATGCACTCTCATGGTTGTCGAACCAAAGAGACGCGGTGCCGACGAGAAAAAACACCACGTTCTCGAGCTGCTTAGCCGTGCTCCAGCGGTTGCTGCGACTCACTCTTTGGTAGTGCTTGAGCCAGTCGTCAACATCGTCATCCAGCTGCCCCGAAAAGGTCCTCGGCTGACGTTCCGGCATGCCGCAGCGATCTTGTCCTGGCGGGTGAGCGTGTTGCTCATCAGCAACGAGGTTGTTATGGCCTGCTCCCGCGTTCTCCATGTCTGGTAGCTGCGGTGGCAAGCCTGCCAAGCGTCTGCTCCGTCGCAAAATCGGTAGAGCTGGGTCGTCCAGATCGATGTACCCCGCACCTCCACCAAACTGTTGCGAGTGACTGTGTTTATTTACAGATGAGGTGAAAAGGCGTTGTGAAATAGCAGCGTACTTCTGAGACAGGCCAAGAACGCTTCCACCCAACCACACAGTCCAGGCGCCGCTCCACTACTCTTCTTCTTCTTCCGCGCCCCGTAGGCTCGCGCATCTTCGTTTCAATATATTGGAATAGAGAAACATCTTTATATTGAGGTCATGCGATGTTTTCATTAGCATGTGTTATATTGTAAGCTGAAGTTCTAGATGAATAATTCTCTAATCTTGTCGACTCAGTTAAATTAAGGTTTAACAATATCTGCTGGTTGCTTTGCTTCCATTTTCAAAAATAACATGCTTGTCAACTTCCCTGATTTGCTGGAGACAGCCTTGAATTTTGACCAGTATTCCTGTACGTACACACGCAGGGGTAGATCTTCCAGAAATCTGTCTAATTAACAATGAAAAAAAACAAAAACAAAAAACAAGAAAGATACTATTGGAAATAACCTCATGCAATACAGCTGCATCGTATTTTACCAACATGACCTCACCAGGTGGCCAAGGCAATCATCTTATGGTCTGGTGATGAAGGTTAAATCCAAACGATTTGTGCATTAGTGTAAGCTCATTTTGCACGATGCAAATGACAATCTGCATTGCATAACAAATGATGTTGCAAAGTCCACTTCTCCTCGGTGAAACTGTATTATGTAATGAAGCATGGGTCTTATGACAATAATGCAGAGGCATCTGCTTTTTGGAAACAGTGTTTGAAAAACAGCTTTGTTGGCTTTCGATTTGTGTGGTGCTTGTACTGGTGTATGTTAATGAAACTCTTTCTTTTTTTTTTTCAATTATGAAGCCTACAGAGAAATCAGAGTAGGTTCTCTTCACAAGCGTTTTTAGATGGGCTGGTTTGTTCACGAATGTTATGGCAGTGCAGCTCGAATTCAAAAGGCAAAGCAGTAAAACACACTGTATGCAACAATAATGCCTGTTTTTTCAGTTGTTGTTGAAAAGGTAGAGCATATATAGGCGGGAGAGCAATAAAAAACAATAAAAAAAGGGGGGCACAAAAACTATTAAGCAACTCAGGCAGCCAGCAAGACTATCGCTTTCAATGAACATTAAGAGTTTATGGAACGTAGTGAAAATCAGATGTTATGAAACAGCTATCAAATGTGAAAAAATGGCAAAAGATCCTGAGCACCAGCATTGCTTCCGGAACTTTTCGCTGCGCAATATTTCCCACTATTCTACCATAATGCCTCTTTTTAATTTCTTACCACTTGTGGGCTCGTGGCAATTTTCATCTTTTGGCGCATCTCAAATACTGTGTTGATCATCGAAACACGTCTGGAATCTTTGTTCGACCTTTCTTTTCTGAAGGTGTTCAGCTGTCGGCAATCGACGACACGTGCTTTGAAATGTTTGCGCCAAACCAGGACGCCATGAATGAGGCTAAGGAGATGGTCGAGCAGTTCCTGAAGGAAGAGGTAAGGAGTGAGCTGATATGACACTCGCACAGTTATACCTCACTAACTCGGGACTCGCACATCTTGAAAGATCAGCTAAGTCAAAATTTTCTGTTGCACTGAACGATTGATCCTAGGGGCAATTTGTTTATTGCCCATTATCTTGAAGTATTTTCGTGCCCACTTTCGGATATTGAAATATTGACTGAGAGTGAAACAAAAAGTTTGCTGCCGGACCGTTTCAGACGGTTCGTGCGAGGTCACCGTTCCTGAATGTGAAGTCGAAACCAGCGGCAGAACAACTTTGTCAAGCAACGCTGTGTCATTTATGTGGTGTTAAGCATGTGCACTATGCCACCCTACATGCGCAGAGGCAGACCCTGCAATATAGCGTGGTTCTTACACATAATTTTATTTGCCAACATAGGCACGATTTCTGTACTGTTTTAATTACACGAGGTACATTGCATGCATTTTTTCGTCGGCTGTGCTGTGTGGGGAAGACAATGCTATCAAACCAAAGCAATTCGTTGAAGCCACACAGAAAGGTAGCACTAATCAAAGAAGCGTATTCGAGGCTTGAGAATTCCGGTTGTTGTATATTGTAATGGTACTTATCGTGCGTCTTTATTATGTGAAAGGCCTCAGCCTACTGGTCCCAACATTGACCGAGAAGGCTTGTTCTCTGGACATTTGCACATGCAAGCATCTACGCACAACTAGCGTGGTAATAATGTTGAATTGTTTCAAACCTCGCTAATACCGTTTTTTATATATGGCGACATAATGTGGTGTCAGGTACGGTGAATGCGGCAGTGTCGATGCAGCCACTCAAGAGGGGCCGACATGAGGTGAAACGAAAACACGCTTCGATTCATGTGAGCAGAATTTGAACGAAGAGGCAAGGGCAGTTGGCGCATGCAGTTTGTCAAGCAACTTCAGAAAGCCGTGCTAGTTTAAAAGTGTTCCCGTGAAACACACCTGCCTCACTCAGTTTTCCTGCTCTGAATAAAAAGGCAGTGCTATAAAAAACACAGCTGGTTGATAGTTCTTGTGTGCCAGTTATTTTTTTTTTTAACATTTACAAAGTGCCAGTTAGGGGCTCCCGTTCAGAACTGGTCAGTAGTCATAGTGTTCTCAGGTAGAACGAGCCTTCTCACTGGAATTTGTCCTTGCAAAAGTCTTTTGCTTTTTACTACTCTTATCTAATGAGGCATTAATGTATGTGGTTCTAGTTTTCCAAAGTTGTGACGAATGTGTGCCGCATGCTCTCTGTGTTTTTTGAACACTAAGCATGGCATCTTTCTTTATTTTTAGATATTTTGAGAATAATAATAATATTGTTGCTGTAGTCAAATTTATGAACGTATTTCAAAATCGCTTGTAGTCTCTCCTTTTGTCGTACATGTGATTTCCGAACGCTATTTGTTGCTTGAATGCTTGTTTTGAAAACATTGATTGCTTGTATGACTGGCTCACTAAAAAACTTGTTATAATGATGTTCCTAAAAAAAATTTGAAACCACTAGAATGTTCTTGCTGTTTCGTTTTTTTGCTTGCTTTTTCAGTCAGTAACACTAAATGTATTCTTTGTTTCTCTATTTAACAGCGTGAGCCGACGCTAGAGTTTGGTGCAGTATACACAGCCAAGATAGTCGAGATCAGGTGAGCTGTTGTGGCATTTAAGACAGACTGATTGCTGGCAAATCTTTTTCTTGTGTGTGTAATGTGTGTAAGTATTGGGGGCGCCACGTTCAGGAGCTTGAACGAACTCTAGCCGGTGGAGTGCGCTTTTGTAAACTTAACAGTTAAAAAGCGACTTCTGGTGCGTGATTACTGAGCGCGCTGCAGCCCTGAGAAGGTGTTTGAGAGCCTGCACGAGATCACGCGCCTGCGCTACGGCTTCCGGAAGATTGACACGGTTCTGGCTCTCTGCTTTGATAAAGTGGATTCTAACTCCCCACTCGTTTTTGCCGTGGAAGCAACGTAACCTCCTGCATTTTCTTGCCCTTGAAAGCAGTCCGCGGAAGTCGCCGTCAAGGGAAACTCCATAGGTGTCGCACTCAAGCGTATTCAAGCGTGTTCTAAAGCGGAAACAGCCTGGTGGAACTCACTGTAGAGGACCCGTATTTAAACTGGGCCATTCCACGCACCCAAGTTATGTCTAACTGGCTTTACGCCTGGCATGCATTTGCGGAACAGACTTCCCCCGCTTTCTTCATTGTTTCTTTTCGCTCTTCGGGGGACGTACAAAAGCCGTAACAAGCGGAAAGTTGATAGGACGCTGCAAAATGGGCGCACGTGTCACAAAGAGCATGTGTATCTCCCTAATGAGGTTGTATTCGTGTGAAAAAAACCCTACATGCTTACCTCAAACATTGGCGTTATCAACAATTTGGTAACCGGAGCTGTGGAAACTCTACGAACGGGCATAACTGGGTGCCTGTACTATGCACGTCCTCATGTTTCACTCTAGCGAGGCTACATCTAGCACAGGATGCACAGCCGCGACAATGTCTATGTAGAGCACGCAAGCAGCGGGCTTTTGCCTGTGGGGCAAAACCTTGAGGCAGTATCGGGCTCTGATGTAGTCAGCCTCACAACTAGGACACGAATGCTCCTGATACACCACTTCAGAGCCCGAAACTGTCTCGAGGTATCGCGCTGCGGAGCAAGAACTGGCTGCTCCCGTGCTCTACACAGACGTGGTCGCGGCTGTACTACCACATCAATAGCTACGCAAAAATTACATTTTTTATTATTTTTTTACAAAGCGTTTACTGAAACTTTTGCACTCGTAGTTCTGGCCCATTCCTACAGTTTTTCATGTTACTAGAAGTGAAGTCACTCCTTTATGGCAAGGGTGAAGCAATGAATGCGAAAGGAGCGATTGTAATGTCATACGAAATAGGGATTACGGCTAACCTCTTTCGCATCCGATCTGGTATAACTCAACAATATCCTGGCATCATAGAATGTGGCTGGCTGCTGCTGTCAGTGAAGTGACTTACATCTTTTATATTGCTCCATCGCGAAAATAGAGGTGAAAGCACAACACGTACAAGCCTATGAGTCATTCAAAGTTATTCATTTAGTCGACTGCGTGACGCGGTCAAGTGTGAAGCTCGTAAAGTGGCTAAAAGCAGCTCATCTTTTCTTGCAGGGAATCTGGCGTGATGGTGACGCTGTATCCAACGATGACGCCGACGCTTCTTCACAACTCTCAGCTCGACCAAAGGAAGGTCAGTTTGCCTAGATCACTGTGTGCCTGTGCTAGTTATTGCCTCGTTAGTATCTTTGGTAGTAGGCCACTGGAGAAGAGTAGTGTTCAAACCTGCCTATAACAGTATTCAAGTGTTATGAAAACTTCACTGTTATAACTGCGCCACACAGAAGAAAAAATAAAATCTATGAGGACAGCTGGCTACGCTGCTAACTTCCAATGTAGATGGTGTTCCTGCCCTCTATTAGACTTTTTTAATTGAGGTAGCTTAATTTGGAGCTGTCTTAACACTCCTGCAGAGCAGTCTTCATTCGGAGCTGTCTGCAATACTACTGTGACTCTACAAAATGATAAGAACGTACAGCAGTTTCATATTTTTGTTGCTTTTAGTGATGGCGGGCGCTATGGAGCAAGCCTGTGCGTGCATAGGTTTTAGTTTGGAAGAGGGTTATCTAGAACAATCCGTCCCTTTTTTAGACGCTCCTGCATTGGCCACTGTCAAACTGTCGATGAAAAGTCGCATACTTGTTCTGTGCCACATCCTTCTTATGTGTTTTATGTGTTTGCACCTTGCTTGTATGCTCACTTGCTACGTTGCTCCGGGGGTTCGGAAAAATGCCAAACCACTGTTCTGGATACGTACAGTAGAATCACATTGATACAATACTGTATGTTATTCAGCCTCATGCATTTTTCTTTTCATTCCCTGCCAATGTCTTTTGAAAATAATGCATTTTTATTCATTTAATGCGATCACTTTTTTGAATAATACGATAATACTGGTACATCTATATCCTATGTTTGTTGTTAGGTATATTGGCTCAGACCGCATCCCAGAAAGTCGCGATCTGCCTGTTACAAAGCTGCCAGTTGGTTTTATGAAGTTTTTTCACGAAGGTTGGTTAGAAAAGCGTTAGTCTTGTGGAGGAAAAAGGTCGTTGCCAGGTGCAGCCGCTGTGTTCAGCGATGAAAAGAAGAAAGTGCAGCGCAATGTGACCTGCTACTTCAATGTTGCTTGATAAGAGTGAGTTTCTGACAGATTATCTATATATTCTTCTTTTAGGTTTAACCTCTTTGGTTGCTACGATTGTTGCATTATACATTTTACTTCCAGATTCTTGTGAAAAAAGTCAAACAATCTTCAACTGTATTTAGTAGTCATTGTATACATGAAAACATCGCTATAAGAAAGTCAGATCTGCCTCGAAAATACTTCGTAATGTTCGAAAGTTCTTCACGAACTATTATTCGTTACACTGTGTATGTGACAAAGCTACTCTTCACTTACTTTGTTATAACCGATAATTCGTTATATCTGAATTTGTTATTTCAAGGTTTGAGTGTATTTTACATTCTCGCTCTGAATGCCCTTCCAGGTTAGTCACCCAAGTGCCTTGGGTCTTGAAGAGGGCCAAGAGATCACCGTCAAATACTTTGGCCGGGACCCCGTGAGTGGCAAGATACGTCTGTCTCGTAAGGTGCTGCAGACTCCTCCGTCGAGTGTCATTCGAAACTTGTCTTGAAAAGAGGCATGATGGCCGGAAGCTGGTACTCATACATCCTTCGTGGCCAGTTTTGCTCGTGTTTCGGTGCAGCAGCCATATGCGCTGCTTGTACTCGTGTAAATTGTTTCCTCATGTCCCGAGGAAGACCATTTGATATATAGTTGTACATATCATTGTCATAGCCAAAAAAACAAACTGTATAGGAAATAAAAATTGATCCACAGTCTGTTTTATTGCGTTCATGTTTCAGAGACACATTCACAGGAGTGCATACCAGATGTGCACCTTGCTGAAGCATAGCAGGACGCTTGACCATTGCCCTTAAACGTGCAGTGGGATGGTGCTCATGATCTCTGTTGATATTGTATTCTCATTCGCTTGCCATGCTTTTCTTCACAGTGGACAGTCACCTCTAGTGCACTGTAAAGGAAGGAATGCCTATGCATGTGATGTTGGTCTTTGTAAACTCTCCTAGGGTGCTTACTGCGAGTGCAGTTGTAGGAGTGTCCACCGTGTATCTGTAAGGCAGTACGTGCACTTACGCAGCTGCCCACTTTGATGATGCCGTGTATGGTAAATTACGGCTGCACCCTTAATCATGGGCCGGTAAACTTCAATCACTCACTCGTTAAGCAGTTTGCGGTGTGTGATGTCTGGAGCGTTCGTATGCTTCTGTAACACAATATTACATCTGTTAACGTGACGTCTCGTACATCATCAGAATTGTGTGGGACGTTTTTCAGAAACACTGGCACAGCCCTTTGGTAGAGTACTTTTGCCACGCAAGACGCCTGTGTTTTGTACCGCCGAGAACCCTGACTTTATTGTTTGCAATCTTCGGGATAGTTCTTGCGTGGGAAACGGCACCGACGTCGCATATACAGTAAACTCCCTTTCAACAAAACTCCCTTAAATAAAACTGCTGCTTAAATGAAACAACTGCGACTAATATGTTTGGTTTCGTACTTGAATATTATACCCCTGTTTACCTCTCAGTAAATGAAACTCCTCTGAAAGTAAACACATTTTCCTGGTCCCTTCAAATTTCATTTAGAAGGAGTCTACTGTAAGCGAAATGTAATGTCACGTATGTGAAACGTCCTTCCCTTACCCAGAAATGTCAGTGAAGCAGGCCTTGAAAAAAAAATTCGCAGAAGAATACGATACTGCCTAATGCAAATTCTTAGTGCAGCTTTGTGTGTTAAGGCAAGGCCAACTGTGTTCAATGTTTCTGGCTTTACGCAAGGTACTGACCATGTTTAAATCATGACTTATGGGAAGTAGAAGAGCATCCAGAATCCCAGTATTCGTCTTTCCCGCGGATAAGCGAGGTACCGGCTACACATCTGCAAGGCATTAGGTGCACGTTCTTGATGCTGAATGTGACTGATGACAATGAAGAACTATGGCTGAGCACATTCTAATGGGTGGGATGCATGATACCTCACACTCATTCTGCAATCGGCATTGTGTCATGGCTGGTTGTTACTTTACTCTTCTGCCGCGCTATATTACGTAGGCAGACGCGATTCTTTGCCCGACGCCAGTAAAGGATTTTTTACAACTGAGCTTCAAGCACCAATGTTGTTCAGCTGTAGAACACTTCACTGCCTGGATTTAAATACCATTCGAACCCGGGTAATATTTTTTTTTTCTGATTTTGTTTATTCATGTCCATCGGTGATGTCACCAGCGACGACACCGCTCTGCGGGAACGGGCACATAGGAGCAACGCTGTAAAAAGTGAGTTTCGTCGCAAGGGCAAAGCAATGAATGCGATAAGAAATTGGAATTATGTACGAAATTGGGCTGGAAGCTTACTCCTTTAGCATGTGGCTAGGCATAACTGAACGATATACGGTGGCGTATGGAAACATGCCGATGCAGGTAACAAAGTGACCTTTGTGCTCGTTCGGGGAAGTTGGTTTATGATTACCACTTGAAAAACTGGTCTGGAAAGACGATAGAAAGAAAAGACACTAACCACGGCAGTCTGTGTCCTTTGTTCATCCCAGCCCTTCAGCGCTGTTTTACAGTAGAGCTATTAACCTTTTCAGATGCCATATATATATAACTTTCTGTAAGTGCATCAAGGCACTGCAACAAAAAAATAAAATATCAATACTGTAGCGAAGATTCGGCGTTGTTTAATCTAGACGCATCTGAAAGCCAGGGAGACAAAGAAGTGCGAGAGCAATTCCGCACAGGCAAGTGATGACAAGTCGACACAATTTCGGGGAGCATTCGTTGGGGTTTATTTATCTAAAACAACTTGAATATACACAATGCAATAAATCACAAATACAAAAATAAAAAATGATGGCACACCCCTCGGCTTGCATTACTGGTCTCTGGTGGTGAGGTGTGCTGTTGACCCAGAGTCCGCTCACCCCAAAAGACGCCCGATTCGCTGCTTAAATGGAGTTTTGCAGCATACAGAGGTTGCGTGGACCGCGTGGAAGATCACTGTTTTCCACCAATTAGAAAACGGCTTACACGGACCATTCAGGCAAGCTGAAAATAACCAATCTCAACACGAGTTTACAATGTCGCTTGTATCCCTCTTCGCAACAAAACTAGGACAGTTCCTGGAAATAGCACATTCTCAAAAGCTGCCTCGATGTGCATTCGACTCTCATTCAAGAGCTAAAGATTTGGTCCCCGGTCGTCCCGAAGGCCCCAGCTGTAGCTCGCTCGTTTGGGGCGCGGGGCACCAGTGACCTATCGGATGCAGCTTCCCTTCAACTCTCATTCTCCTTCGAGGGTCCTTCTCCGAGAAAAGTTGTGAACTAACGTCTCAAACAACTTTTGACAAAGAGGCTCCAGTGGTAGTTGAAAAAAATAATAAAAAAAAAACCTTTTGCTGGACATTGCCTTCGCGACAATATGTTAATTCCAGGCCGCGTTCCCGTGTTCTCCAGAGCCTTTACTACCGATCGGCCGCCTTTTCTGACCATGCTCAAAAGGTGTTGCAGGGTCCTTTTAAAAGGAACGTGAAATAGTATTTTGAAGTTTTGTCAGCGTTTAGGTTAGGGCGTCACCAAACCATTAGCACCACAAATTTATCGACGCTCATTGTACCAAGGGCGCTACGGACAATTACGCCATAACCTTGTTCTCACCCTAACCGTGCCTCCGCGATTCATGAGATATGCTGGCCATCACAGAGCTCTCACGAGCCCACTCGAAGATTTGGCTTCACCCAGTCTAGACCTCCGAGATTGCACGCGCCGACAGGATGCGTGCAATCTCGGAGGCCATCACCCAGTGTGCCCAGCAGGCAGCACCCACACCCTCAAGCAACAGAGACGAAGATCGCAGAGTAGTCGATATGTGCTCCAGGTGCTGTCATCCTACCAGCCGATCTAGAGTTACTGTATATGTTACCTATACAGTAACTCCGAGGCGGTCTTACCTGGGCATTCTAGAGCCAATCAGATTAGCACCCTAGGTGACATCACGTTACCATAGCATGCCGTTCTGTGAAAGAGTTGTTGAAAACGCGTTTGGTACCAATCTGCATCTGTAAAGCGCTTACGCAGGGAGCTCAAATCGGTCTGTGAATGACCCTTAGGACTTGGCCTACTTGCCCAATGTGTTTGCACAAAATCGTCGAAACTGTTTCAGGGTCCCCTTAAATGAAGACAAGCTTGTGAAGCAAGAGGTTCAGTTTATCCAAAGCTCAATATGCCTTGCTTTTTCTTAGCCCTTAGTTCTTAGCCCTTAGCCCTGCGTCTGTTTGTTGCAAAGTCATAGAGCATATAATAGCAAAGCATATCATGGTTCACTTGGAGGTTAATCAATTACTTAATGACTGTCAGCATGGATTTAGAAGTGGCAAGTCCGTAGTGACGCAATTGATTCAAACAATTCACGATTTCAGCTCGGCTATAGACGATTGCAAACAAGTTGATGTAATTCGTATTGATTTTGCTAAAGCCTTTGATGTTGTAAACCACACTAAACTGCTTTTTAAACTGAGTAAAATGGGATTCAGTGATGAAATTTTAAATTGGATTGGCACCTACCTGAGTAAACGCAAGCAAGCAGTGAGGATTGATGGTTCTTTTTCAGCTACGCTAGATGTGTTTTCAGGTGTGCCTCAAGGGTCCGTGCTTGGCCCGCTGTTGTTTTTGTTGTACATAATTGATATAAGTAATATTGTAAAGCCACCTGTTAAGATGAAACTTTATGCTGATGATTGTTTGATTTATATGCCTGTAAGCTGTACTGATGATCAACTCGAGTTAAATAAAGTGCCTTGAAGATTTGGAATTGTGGTGTTGCGAATGGGATATGCAAATTAACTTTAAAAAAACAACATATGTACACATTACCAATAAAAAAAATGTTCTCAATTTCCAGTACAACATCGGGAGCAATAAACTCAGTAAAACGACCCATTTTAAATACTTAGGGGTGACAATTACGAACAACTTAACTTGGCACCGTCACATTGATTCGGTTTGTTCTGAGTCATTTAAAAAACTGTGTTTTCTACGAGCAAAGATGCATAAATCACCGAAACACGTAAAGCTGCTTGCATACCACACATATATTAGACCTAGACTGGAATACGCCTCTGTGGTTCGGAGCCCTCACCAGAAACACTTGGTCACCAAGTTAGAACGTATTCAGAGGCGTGCAGCTCGGTTTGTGTGCTCTAAATATAGAAGGCGGGATTCAGTAACTGATATGCTAAATTCATGCAATTTAGAATCACTAGAAGTTCGAAGACGGAAACAAAAACTTAAAACATTATTTCGTATAATGCAAGGGATATTCAAAATACCTAAAGACGAGTACATACGCCTTCCCGGAAAACGTAGCACTAGATTGAATCATGATGCCCCCATTGAACCTTTCAGCGCTCGCACTGACATTTTTTGGTGGTCATTTTTCCCGGATGCTATAGAACAATGGAATTCTTTACCCCAACATGTTATTAATAGTACCGATGTGCAAACTTTTGACAGAGAAATTGATGCTTATTTTGGTAATAGTTGAAGTACTGCCCATTCTGTTTTCCTGTGTTTATTGCTTAGTGGTTTTTTTTTTAGGTGTTCTGTTTGTACTCATATTGTACTCCCTCCCTGTTATGACCCTCAAGCGAGGGTTGACAGTATTATTAAATAAAAAAAATAAAAAAAATACATATAGGAAGTGTTAAGATGGAGTATGGACGTGGGTAGTAATTAAAAATGTATCATTAACATGAACTTGCACGCACTGTCTTCATCATGTTCATCGCTTTCCTCTTCTGCGTCGCTACCAAATAAACCTGCGTCAATTGGTCCCGCGAACGATGCGATAGCTCTATGTGCGAGGGAACGGGTAAAGAGGGAGAAAAGGAGATAGAAACAGATCAATTCCGGGCTCACGCCTGTGTTCTAGAGTGAGTGCTGACGTTGCATCAGACCGTACGTTGCCCTTTGAACAGTGACAGCCAATGTCCTTGATAATCTCACGATGTGCACACAGCTATCACGCTTACCAAAAGACTTCGATACACCTCGTAACACTTGGCTCGAAGCTGAAAACTGCAACACGTACGACTGCTCGTTGGCTGCTTTGCATGAAATGGATTCCCACAAGGTGTGGGATGTGCCGAATTTTTTTTCTTCTAAACTTCGTGCTGCATATGGCTTCAGTGCAAGCACTTCTGATGACAGCGCAACGGGTACAAAGGTATGAGTCATTTCTGAATCTCCTCAACATAACGTGAGTGGGCTGGTAGGCGACCACGCCTGGCCTTTCAGAGTGCGCATTTCTTGCCAAAGACAGAAAACCCCCTTCCCCCCTCCCCACCACCTCTTCCAACACCCCTAATGCGCCTTTGACGACTGGAATGGCTGGCACATTTCACTTCTGCTTGAGCCACGACCGTCGGCAGGCAGTCCTACATACCACTCGAGGGGTAATGTTATTTATTATGAACTTATACGAACATCACGGTGACGCCCATAGCGAAATCGCCCCTGGGATGTCCATATAATTGCTATTGTAATAAAAAATCAATGGAACATAGTTGGCCGTGCCATCTTATCACACGAACTGCTGGAGAGTTAACAGACCTTGTATAATAGGGCCTGAAAGCTGGTCACATGTCGTGCAGAAATTAATTAGGTAAACCATCTATTATGTGAGTTTATTGAAACTTCAATTAAAATTGCAACTTATTACCAATGTTAGGCAGATGAAAGGATGCTTTAAGGCGAATTCGAACCACGTTGTGAGCCGAACTTACACCATGCATTTGTGTGAACTTGAGAACTGCTTAATCGCACGACCTCACCACCATATGTAAAGCTTTCCTACGTGCGAGAAAGTTATGCTCACGCTTGAATTCTCACGCGCGAGTTGGGTTATCCCAACGTTATACGGCGTCCGCGATAGGCATTCGAAACATCGATGTTTTGCCTTGCAAGAAAATGCAATATCCGCTAAGCTACCTTATTACTTCGATAGGTAATGCTACAGGAGCTCGGAATTCTAGGAGCGAAAAGCCTAGTGCTCGACAGTGTGCGTCAATGTCGCTTACCATAACGATGCGCTATTTTTGCGTCATTGTTATTAACTCTCTTTTTTTTACAAAAAGTATCGGTTTTAACTTTCAAGAACAAGGGATTAACCTCTCTCTAGGTTTGGGTGGCGTTATACACACGCGACGAGACGCGCAAAAACTCATGTGGTGAGTTTTTCAGTGAGATACAATAATAACACTTCGACAACTTTCGCTTTGTTTAGGGCCTGCGTACAGATCCGACAAAGAGGATTACATCCGGTTCATTAGTCTTAATGATGAACATGAAAGGGTGGTCCACCTTAAAGAGTGTGGGTGGCAGCGTATTGTAGGCGCAGCACGTCATGATCGTTCCCGTCGCGGCCGCCGCTTCAGTGCCTTCCTCGTCAACCTGGAGGAACGTCTTGTGAAGGATGTCGGTCACCGCGGGTTTGCCGGACTCGAAGATCCCCGAAAGGTCGGCCACCTCTGGCTTGAACAAGTCCACGACACCGAGAGCCCTGAGAACATCCTTGAGAGCGAGGCCACGCTCGATCTTGAGCTTGGGAAGGGTAAGGCAGACTTTAGGGTTTTGCTCGAGACTCGCCAGCAACGTGCTAAGAGTCACCGACGTAAGGTGCTTCTCCAGAAAGGGCAGGCCTTCCACTTCGTCCGGTAGTAGGATGACCATGGACATCTTGCCGCCTCTGTAGGGCATCTCAAGGGCTCGAGCCCTGAGCTCCTTGGAAGTGCTGATTTTGTAACCGTAAGCATGGGACATGGTGTCCACTTTCACAACGTTCTCGGAATCGAGGTGAAAGTCGTGCGGTTTGGTAAGGTGCGCCGTGAAGGGCGAGCTCCAGAAACCCTTGAAGTAAATGGCGTTCAGCAGTAGCAACGTGGTATTGGCGCCGACGCTGCCTGGTGGCAGCAGATCCCGAATCTTGGAGGCGGTCTGTTTCAAGACCCACTCGTTGGCTTCCAGACGAACATCTTCGTGGTTCTTGGAGAAGTCGACGGACGTGACGGTTGCGCCGTACGAGTTCTCCATGTCGGAACGATAACTCTTCTGGAACGCGAAGCGTTGGTCGCCGTACACACGGTTGGCCACGTGAAACTCGACGTCCGGCGCGAATTCCGAAAGTTGTTTGAGCAATTTCGTGACACTGCACTGAACTTTGCTCCGATCATTTTTGACATGAAGAAGGGCGGCGAGTTGTTCGGCGGTGTTGTTGCGCGCTCCGGCGAGAGCCATGGTGAGTGGTAGGGCGATGCTGAACGGGGAGAAAAAGATGTTCTGGCCGCCCCTGTTTTGGGACTGCAGTTTGCCGTACATGTCCAAGGCAAACTGGAGAAGCGAGTCACTGAGACCTTGTGCCATGACTGGGTTTGCTATGAGAAGAGAGGTGAGAAAGATGTGAACAGTCAAGTTTGGAGGCAACGTTGCGTGTAACTGCGGTAACAAGGACAAGCTATTGTCATATGGAAAGCTATTATAATTCGTTAGGGAATCACCTAACAAAATTTCACAAAAGTTTGTTAAAACGCGAAACATTATGGACTAAATTTAGCTCGAGCTGAACGTATAGCTTGTGCTCTTTCTTCTGCACAACGCGATTCCGGTTTATGCTGTACTTTCAAAGACATGTAGCAGTGTTAGTTTATCTCGACTCTGACCATAAGTCGCTGTGCTTGCATAGAAGAACCTGACGTTGGTGATTCCTCTAGTATTTACGATAACCTCCCTATTCTAACTACGTAGACGACTCAGCCTAAAAAGAGTCACATTTAGGTCTACCATGAGCTACATCAGTTGAAACATCGAATTCATGTTTATTCAACGATTACTTGTAATCTTTTTATTACAATGTGACGTACTAGAGAATGGCCAAAACTACCTTTCCACTTGAGCATTTAATATCATTAACACTTTTTGGTTGTCCGCTGCGTGGAGCAGTGGTGTTGGTGCTCAACTGCCGACCCGAAAGTCGTGGGGTTTTGAACGGCCGCGGCCGTTGAATTTCGATAGACACGAAATGCTAGGCGTCCGCCTTCCGATGTGCGGTGACAGTGCACAGTAAAGAAATGCAGACGGTCAAAATTTCCGGAGCCTTGCAGTGCGGAGTCTCCCACAATCATATCGCGGTTTTGGGGCGTAGAAACGTAGATATTTTCTTATCACTTTTTCCTGTACAGGTAACGTTAAGAAGCTATAGCCTTTGAAATGTAATTTGAATGAGTATATACGTGGCTCTGCTGTTTATTCAGCGTTAAGATTACACCACAGTTCGACGAGACATGTGCACACGTGTTTGCAAGCCTCGATGTTTACCATATAGCTTGAAAAAAGAAACTCCTGCCTTTGGGAATGAACACATTTTTGTAGCGCGTTGTACGGTTAATCTTATTGTGCAGATTTAGTTGAGCGTCCGCTACAGCTTTGCGGACGCAGCCTGCCATAGGAAATGACTGCCAGGCTGCTTCTGCAAAGCTGCTGCGGACGCTCAACGATTTCGTTTAGCTTGGTTCGCTGTATGGTGACGCTTCTCGGGGCGTGCGGCTCGTTCGTCGTCCGTCTCCTCGGCTCCCGGCTTCCTCTTGGTTTCGTTCCGACGACGAAGCAATGATCCATGCAGACTCTCTGACTCACTTCATTTACATATTGCCGATGAATCCCATCGAGCCGCATACGATACAACGCTGACTCCTCCTCTGCTACGTTTTAACAGCGCTACTGAATGCGGGCATGGTAGAACACGTGTACATACACACGCGTCACGCCGAATTTCAACTGGAACATGGTGGAAACACGGTTTCATCGTCTGCTCTGACGTCATGCCAGAGGACGCGGCGAGCGGTGTGGCCACGCGCCAGCCACCGTCAAGCGGCGAAAATTCGGCCAATATGTGGCACCCATTAAAAAAAAAAACCATAACACATACGTTGTGTTACTCCTTGTTTCCCAGTGTACGTGTTTATTAGATGCGAAGCAGTTCTTTAATAGCATGTGTAACGCTGTCCGTCCGTGTCTCCGTGCCAACACGCCGCACCGCGTTCTTCTCGCGGCAGGTGTTGGGGCGGTGCTATGAAGGTCACGTCTTCACTCACAGTGCGTGGTGACGTCAATCTGTTCCTCGCCTGCTGCGCACTCGCCGCGTGTCACCTCTCTCTCTCTCTTTCTCGCGTCACCCTATCCACGGCGGGCGTCGTTTCAGCGCACATCGAGTGAACACTCTTTCGGCTTGTTTCTCTGCGATGGAGAAGACCCTTACAAACCTCACAGCCCGGCCGTCGCCAGCGGTGTGAGGGTTAGCGGAACCCAGGGTTGCCACTGGTGGCTACTTTTCGCCAAATTGGTGAATTTGAGAGGCCCGTGGCGACCTTAAATGACAAATGGCAACATGGTGAATTTTTGACGATTTTCGGCTTAGTTTTTGACTGATGTATTCAATATATTCTCAGTTTCTTCAAAACAAATGGATGACAACGTTTTTTTTCTATTTTTTGCAGCTTTAGACTCACCAGTAGAAGGCGCACTTTAAGAAGAATTCAGTACGTCATCACAATACCTAGATTCTGGAGGCGTTGTCGCACAGGTGCGTCCGCCAGCAACCTTCCAGCAAAATTCAGGTAAGCGGGCTGCTTCGTGTGCCGCGTGGTGATAACGTTATACTGCGGTCTTTAGGGTACTCGGCTGCTGACCCGCAGGTCGCGGGATCAAATTCCGGCTTCGGCGGCTGCATTTTCGATGGAGGCGTAAATGCCGTAGGTCCGTGTTGGATTTGGGTGCGCAATAAAGAAACCAAGGTGGTCGCGATTTCTGGAGCCCACCACTATGGCGTCTCTCATGTTCATATGGTGGTTTTGGGACGTTAAACCCCACATATCAATCAATTCTGTTCTTTAGCTCATGTAAGAGCCTAAATATTTGTCAAAGTTTCGCTTCTGAAGTGGCTAGATGACGGTTGCACCACGTGTTTCTACCACAACTCCAGCTGTAATGAATAGCTCGTCGACTTCTTCACTACTGTAATACCCCCTAATATGGTACGTACAGCTTATATTAGGTTTCTAGCCGGCTAAGAAGTCGAATTTTTTGAGCAGCCTTCAGAAACTGCGTGACTGAGGCATATGCGTAGTGTAAAAAATCGCCCCACAGAAAGCGTAGTGAGGGCATCGCGACAGTTACTCAGCACTTTCGAATTTATTTCCGCAGCTTTTGTAAATAAGTTGTTCAATTATGGGACACGCCATTCCACTGCAATGAAATTCTCGAAATATTCAAGATGTCTATACGCACACCGTCTTTCTCTGGTTGTAGCAACTGCTTCGTCCTGTATTCGATGCAACTGGAAACCACCACAGACTTTGGTTACAGGCGCTAGCATTCAGGGATGCTGCTGGTGTAGTCATGTGCTTTCTCAGTGCTACCCCGCCGCGGTTGTGGCTAAGGTGCTCGGCAGCTGTCCCGCAGGTTGCGGGATCGAATCCCAGCTGCGGTGGCTGCGTAAATCTTCGATGGAGGCGAAAATGCTGTAGGCCCGTGTGCTCAGATTTGGGTGCACGTTAAAAAAACCCCAGGTGGTCAAAATTTCCGGAGCCATCCACCATGGCGTCTCTCATAATCATAAGGTGGTTTTGGGACGTTAAACCCCACATATCTATAAACCTTCCTCAGTGCTGCCATGGTGTAGCGGGTGATGTGGCTGGAATTAGAAAAGCGTCAGTATACTTTATGGGTTGCGGATGGTGCTGTACTTCGCGGTGATATACATAGTTAGCAATCTTTATTACTATAGCACCCTGCAAATGTGTACAGTGGCGACTTTTTTGGCGAAATTTTAAGAAAAATGGCGACTTTTGGAGACCTTTCGCTCGTCGTTTGGTGGATTTGACTCAAAAGTCAGTTGCAAGCCTGGGGGAACCGATCGCGTTCGTGAATGGTGATGTCGCGCCCGCAACGCCAATGAACCACGAGCCAGGCAAACCGAACGCAAGCGTCGGCAGTGGAAGACCAACGACACCGACGAGGCGCGAGTCAAGCGCGCCAATCCCGTTCGAGAATGGAGACAGTGCGCGGGTAACACCGATGAGACGCGAGCCAAGGAAGCCGAGAGCAAGCGCCGACAGCGGAAGGCTAAAGCCGGTGAATTCTCGACGTCGTCGTCGTCGGCAACGTCTCGAAAGTGCCGCGCGCCTTCCGCCGAATCGCCGTGCCCAACGCTGTTGCTTCGCATCTCATCAGTGTTCCCTTTGGGAAGATGTTGTTAATTTTAGCTCTCCATAATCCACCAAATATCAACAACTGTGATGCACCGGGAACGAACCCCGTGGTCAAACTTGCAAGAGAGCAATAATCCCTCGTCACCGAGGAACGCTCAGATTTCGCCTCTAAATTCAGCGAAGCACGAAGGTGATGTCACATACTTCAATGACACTTCATGGCATTTCATTAGTGGTCATAAACAACGCCGTTGATTGGCAAATGAATAACGCTGATTATGTGGCCACGCATACGGCGACAAAACAGATCGTTAAAGTATACCGCCAAGAATGAGCGCTCACCTCGGTCTATCTGTTGACTTTTGTAGACCTTCAAACCGTTGATGCCCTCTTTGCCACTCTTGACCCTCGTTGGTCGCCGGTTTCGTGGCTCAAGGTGATAAGGGTCAATGCTGCTGCTGCTACTGACGATGACGATGGCCTAAACAAATGGCTCACACACGCTGTGGGGGATCGGCCAAGAAACGATTATTTAGATAGTGGATCACATATGATTTATAAATCTAATGGATTTCAAAATGGTTAGAAGAAATCCAATTTTACTAATTGAGAGATTCGCAATCAAAAACGCCTTGATTCAGTTAAGAATCTTTGTACAGCAGATCAGATATTCCGATCATAATGACCTAATGAGGAGGTTCCCGAGGAGAGAATATTAGAAATAATGCAACCCAATCTAATTAGAATAAAAGCCTCTTTAGGAACAATTTTCCTCAGTGACTTGAAGTGACTACCCGATAAAAAATAATGCTCGATTGTTTCATCCTTGTTACAGAATGAGCAACAAAAAATTTAGAGAGTAATGATTGGCATTTACCCACTATGGTGATTAGGCAAAGAAAAAGCCTGTGTCAAAGCTTCGGTGCCTTGGTATACTGCCACAGGATGCCTTTGATGCCGTTTGTGAGTGATGTTTTAATCTTATCTTCAAAAATAATCGGCATTAAAATGCAACAAAATCTAACTAACTTCTTCAATATTGTTCCCATCAGGTTTTGATACGGCAGTCTGAAAATACGAGCTCTATAGCATATTACTTGGAGTCTTAACCAACTTATTAGTAATGTTGTCATTTGTTTCCTTATTTTTAAATGACCT